TGACTACCAAATATCTGTTATTTTTTAAATTTTATTTGATTTCATTTCATTATTCTAATTACTAACCTGAGAAAAGAAAAGTGAATCAAAGTTGCTACCTCATGCACATTTTATGCTGGATACGTTCTCTCTTTCTTTATCTCTCCTCCCCCTTTCCCCATCTCTCTTTCATCCACCCTCTCCGTGATGTTTCTTCCAATCGTTTTCTGCGATGCCCTTTTTTAAAAATAATTCTCTCAACAAAAGATCTTTGGGGGGGGGCCTTCTTTTAGACCTCTTTAAATGGGAACTTGGGAGTCATATCGAAGGCTTAAGATAAGAAATAAATTATCATCGACTTCTATCCAACAGATCAGAATGCTAAATTAATGTCTCTTTTACACAACTAATCATAATTACCACTTCCAAACACACACATACTCACGCACGCAGAACCTCGAACGCACGCACGGACGAACGAACGCACACCACCCTCACACACAAACGAACAAGATACCAGGGCCCGGTTTCACAAAACTTGTCATCAGTGACAAATGACAGTTTTTGTTATAAGCTACTAAAATCCTTGCTTCTGATTGGTTATCAGCAGATTTGTCACTGCTATTGTCATTTGTCATTGAAAAAGGCTTTGTGAAACACCCTCCTGGCGTACTGTACCAGACGCTTAGTTCTGAACCATACCAAATTGTACTTACAAAAAGGAAACAAGTAAGAAACTCTAAAATCTATGTATTTCCGTTTTTTCATAACTATCCAATCATTTTTTAATTGTAAAAACATTTTCAATGGCAGTTTACAGCTTGAGACAAATTAGGGATAACAACCATTTCCCAATGGATCAAGTTTCTGTGGCTACCATACAATGAGAAAAAAAGTATACTCTCATGTTAAATATCGCACAACTCAATAGAAATGAACATCTGCAACATTGTTAAGTACAGGGGAATAAAAAGATACTTCAAAATATACAACATATTACATCCTCAGAAAACAAAATATTTTAGATTAAAGGTACTATGTCCCTTTTGTAGCCAGCCTCAAATTCTGTAAAACTTTGCAGGAATTATGAATATGTCATGTATGTCCTATCTGTGAAATTTAAACGTTAGCAGTGTCCTAATATTCAAATTATGCAAGGAAACCCGTTTACTTGCTAGACTTCACTGTCAGACACTATTGAGTGACTGACTGGCTTTCTTTGGTAATAACATACATAAAATGAGCTGTAAAGGGTACATGAGCATTTGTCTACATCAATAACCCACTTCTTGTGATGGTGAAAATTAAACTGATTGAATCTTTGTGCAGCATAAAACATATGACCATTCGGAACAATGGTCTGAAAATCAAGACTATTACTTATTGGCTCTATAGCTCTTAAGTCGATTTGACAACTAATAGTCATTATTTTCCCACCTTTTTTTTAGGGAAGTTCTAAATTAGTATTATCTTTCAAATGCCGTTGGAATTTAACCTTTTCATTTTTTGGGCCTGCAAATGGGACATTGTACCTTTAAAACAATCCATGTAAATCATATAACTATTTGCATATCACCACTGTCAACACACAGCTGCATATTTACAATAACATACATGTTTCAACTTTGGTTAAACCATTGAAAAGCTGTAAAATAATAGCAACTTTTTTTTTTGATGTAGAACTTTTCCAGTTACTAATCCTCGCTGAACATGAGGCATTACTTTCTTGTAGTTTTATTAACTCTGAAATACATTTCCGTCTCATGGATGGAGAGAAGCAATGTAAATATAATGCCTTGCTTTAAGGACAAAAGTGCCTTGCCAGAGCTCAACCCCACAACAATAACTTTTTAAGGGGAATTCTACTTTGGTATTAAGTTGGATGATTTACAAAAAAGAAAGAAGAAAAGGAGAGAAAAGAAAAACATAAAAATGGGAGAATGAGATCTGTAACTCTGTAACGGGTAGAAAATTCTGCCAAGGCGAAGGACAGATTACTCATTACTTAGCCTCATCAAGACTTTTTGAAAGACATTGATCAAAACTTACTCGATTTGCTAGGACAGGAATAGTCCATCCCTCAGATAGGACGTTAAATGGAGGCCCCATGTAGAGGAGAGTCAACACCTTTCCACCTTACGAACCCACTGCACTATGCGTATTAAAGAGTAGGGGGAAACCCCAGTGTAGCGGTCCACCTGCACAATCCCAATCAGTTATTGAGACCAGAGAGTTACACTAATTCAGATTTTGCCTCTCTGGCTCAGGTGATACCAATTACATAATAATAATAAAACTACAACTGATACAAAATTTATCTATGTAGTTTTGTTTATACATTGCTTTCCCTGTAAGAAATTGTGTGGAGACGCACAGTAAGTTGAAGAAGCAAAAACAAGATGACAAAAAATAATCAGTTGGATGTGAAAAATGTGAGAGGGGCATTTGTTAACATTTCCCCTTATGTATATCAGTGTTTGGAACATATTACACAGCAGCAGGTACATGTATGTGGGGAAAATAGCATTAATAAATATGAAATCATAATTTCTGCAGCCAAACTGCATTTACAATACAATCTGACGCAAATCTATTGCACAGCCCTTTAAAACATCCATGCATACAACATGAGCATAATGTAAACACATATTCTCTATTCCTAACATTAAAAATAAACTTATTCAAATCAGTACATGTATTCTACAAATTCCATTCTTCCTCTCTTTTTTTCTCTTTCTTTGTAATTCTAAGATCATGTATTTGTAAAAAAAAAATCCATGTGAAATATCTTTCTATGTGCATGCAGCCTTATTTCGGTTTCAAAGAAATTTTTTTCTTATTTTTTTTTTCTTCTTTATCTTCAACATTCAAATAAAATATTGAAAAAAAGAAACTCACACACGCTTTATATTGTGTTAAGACAGAATAGTGCAGTATGGTTAGTGTACAAGTACATGTACAACAAAATTCAATACTCCACAAGATGAACTCACTGTAAATAGTGAATGTTCTTGAATAAATAAATACCAGATCAAATCTGTCACAAAAATTTACTGTTAGAAAGATACAACTAAAAAAGGTTACTTAGAACTACTACAGCAACTATAATCAGCATTTAAAAAAAATATCATTTCTTAATATTTAAACTGTGCATAAATTCATCTTAATGTATGTAATGTAATTTAATAACATATATTATGTATTGTTATTAAAAGCAAATTATCCAGGAGAGGAATCCCATCGGTCCCCTGGTTGCTTACTAACAAGCATACACATCAATGCTTTCTTTCAGCATTCAGGTAAAAACAACACATCGAACCATAAATCACTGACTTAAAACTAGGGAGTGTATCATGACAAGACTATAATAATAATAATAATAATAATAGTGGCTACTTGTATAGCGCACAGGTCCACCTTTCGGTGCTCATGGCGCTTAGATGTGTCTTTCCTTTGGCCTTACTCGGGGCCAATGGACGACGCGACCACAGCATTCACGTGCGTGAAACAAACGCGAATCCGAAGCGTGAGGAGAACTTCGGTCTGTTTCGCAAACGCTAGTGCGCGTTGACCCAGTTAATCAAGTCCATTCGTTTACGTGCAGTTGTCCTAAAGAAGACGTAGATGGCATTAACCAGTCTTTGGCATGATACACTCCCTTTAATGTACATGGATCGACAAACCACTCAAACTATCCCAAGTACAGTTCTACTACCACATGAGGGCAGCAAACATGTTTAAATAGAAGGTATGTGCAGTTTGTCATCAATAAATTGTTTACATCCAGCACAACTATGGGAAATAAACTGAAGTCCAACATTATATGCAAAGTCCAGAAAAGTAATCATTATGAAATTTCTGAATTTCATAATGTCTGAATATATCTTACTTTCATTGGATTGATACACATGTAATATGTCCAGGTAAAAACATGTCTTGATTTTGATCAGCATCTCATGTACATGATAAATACATGTAACTTCCAAATCAGAGAAGTAAAAACAGACATGAGAGTTACATAAAAACCCTCTAGTAGTATATCATTTATTAACATTATTAACATTAATAATTATGTACATTTTAATGTTTGGCAAATTTCTATGGTTCACATAGTCCTCAACACACGCGATACTGCAAACAGTGACATGGTTGTACCACATATCGAGGGTTCAGTGACACAAAGACGTAACTCCATATTTTGCCAAAATGAGTATTTGATACCAAAATGTTCAGAAAAATGTGGACTTAACTCTACCCAACACCCTATTGAAGTCAATGGCTAGTGAAACATAGACTTAATTAACTCCTTAAGGCCCAAGTGCTCAGTGACACATAAACCACTTTTTCTCAAAATGGCCAAAATGGAGTTATGTCTTGGTGTCACTGACCCCTTGAAATGCCTCAACTATAATTGCTCCATGTCAATTTTGGAAATTAAATCACTAACCAAACCAAATTCTCAACGTCAATTCTTGACCGCACGCACACTATACCTAAATCTAACCCTAATCCTAAACTTTACCTCACACCCAATTGCCACCCTAAACCTGACCCTACAGCTTTGAAGAAATGTAGGATGGAGCAATCTCCTTGCACCACAGGCACCAAGTAGTCTGCAGGAACAGACCCTTGTCAGTGGTAAAGCATACCAGAGGGTCTGAGACAGGAGACTGTGCAGAGACTATACTCAATAGGCCCTGCACTGTACTGTGAGCGTTGGTAAAATGACGCCTGGCTTGAATTGCTCCGATGACTCAAGCCCACACGGTCACCTATTTTTGTCCCCGACGTCCGCACCCCGGTGATTTAAGCTCACGCACGCCAGCTATTCTCCACTCCTAACAACGGATAGTAAACCTGTTCGAAATGTCGAGCCACTCATCCTCTCCAAGCGCTATAGTTCTCCTTAGAACTATAAGCTAAGAAAGATAACAAACAGTCCTTTTCAGGACTACACACCCCCAAGAAAGATCACCGAGTCAGAGTCCTTTTCAGGACTCCTCAATCCTCTCTCTCTCTCTCACACATGGTGCACCCGCAAGCCTACTGTATATCTACATCACCATGCAAGCCGACACTTACTAGCAGCACGATATCTTTAGTTTTGATGTACTATTTTTAAATCATCGTTGTGAAATCAAGTCTGTGTGGCGATGTCACAGTGGTGTTAAGCTATCGATATTGATATCGGTATCTGGCTATTAATTTCATCATCAAACATTTGGCTCGATTTAAGAGCTCTTGACTGCTCTAAACATTAACCCTAACACTAACACCCAACTTGAAATCACTCAATGCTGATATATAAAGCGCTACATAAAAGCGGGATATCATTATTACTGTAGCTGCTTCGGACAAGTAGAAGCTGTGCTAGTCTTCACACCACACCCGATAGTTGCTGTAATAAAGTGTCAAATACAGGGTCTGTCCTTGCAGACTAGACACGGGGTATGACTGGATACAAAGCTTCATGCCAGGTCCATCACTCCTGCTGCCACCAGCTGAGCCGAGAGCCATTCCAGACCATCCCAGAGCCCCGCCCCACTCAGGGCGTCGCAGGGCTGGATGAACCAACTCCGCCCACAGCAAAGCTTGTTGAGACATAGACGGTCACTGATGGTGTCCAGGTTTACAGCATTGGGTGAATCCTATCAAGGGAGAGGGAGGAAATGGGAGTTAAATCCCCATTTTTTTTAAACGTTAATAGGTTTCCAAAGCCTTTTTAAGAGTGTGGAATCCCTTAAAAGCACATAGGGACATAATTCTGTAATGTCTTATGCGCTGTACAAGAATTGTTTTCTTCTTGTTCTTGTTTTTGTTCTTGTTTTCCTTCTTCTTCTTCTTTTTCTTCTTCTTTTTATTATTATTTTTAGTATCATCATCAGAATTTTCACCATCATCATCCCCATCATCATCACCACCATTATCATCCTCCCCCTCATCACCATAATCATCAGTATCGCTATGATCCTTATAAAATCATCATCATAATCATCAACATAAAACACCACCAGTACCACCATCATTATCATCTCCATAAATACCACATCTTCATTCTTAATTTCTCATTACCATCAACTAACCTGTTTGTTTGCAAAGACCAGCAGTAGCGCATCTCTAAGCTGTTTCTCTGACATAAGTATTGCAAGTTCATCGTATGCCTCATCTAATCTGTCTCCATCCGTTGAGTCTACTACAAAGATGAGAGCTGGAACAAAAAGAAACAGACAATGGAAACAGTCATATTTTAAATGTTTGCTCACAGTTTAGTATACAATCTAACCAAAACTGCATTAAGGAGGCAGTTGTGGAAGAGGTTGAAAACAAGACATTGAAATTGTAAAAAACTTGTGTGACTGATGCTCTTAATGATCAAATGAATGGTAAAGTTTGAATTAGATGCTGCTTGTAAGTATCCGCTTGCATGGTGATGTAGATATACAGTAGGCTTGCGGGTGCACCATGTAAGAGAGAGGGAGGATTAAGGACTCTCGGTAATCTTTCTTGAGGGTGTGTAGTCCTGAAAAGGACTGTTGGTATAATCTTGAAAAAGACTGTTGGTTATCTTTCTTAGCTTATATTTCTAAGGAGGACTATAGCGCTTGGAGAGGATGGGTGGCGGGAGTGGCTCGACGTTTCAAACAGGTTGACTATCCGTCGTCAGGGGTGGAGTATAGCTGGTGTGCGTAAGCTTAAAGGGATTGGATCGCCAGTTTCCATGTGCAGAAGGCCATAATTCGCTGACACCAGACTTGGTGGAAATACCATTAATGGGGGTACAAATTTGCACACAGCAAACCCATAGTCCAGTCAAGAATTACCCCCTAATCTCTCGGAGAGCTCGAGAGTCTTCGGGCAAATCAAAGCATTACATAAGGTCCAATGGTCATAAAACTCAAGGCTAACCCTGGTGATTGACAACACCTGTTATTGGGTAAACACCCGAACGGTGTCGAATTCCCCATGAGAGCCGACTACTCAGTGACTTTAAGTCACCGGGATGCGGGCGTGGGGGTACTATACTATACAAAGTTTGAATTGCTGTGCATTTTCTGTATTCCATTTTCCCTTTTATTGTTCTATTCTGTCCATGAATGGCCTCGAGTGGGACGACAAGTGAAATAGCATTAAAGCAAGTTCAATATTCCTGAGTCCCAAGAAAGAAGAGCCATTCAATAATATTACTAACTGTGTGAAGCCTAGTATCTACATTTCCACGAATGCACCCTTATGTGTTTGTATTCAATAACATGCACATTAAAAACAAAGAGTACAAGACATTCTGGTCCTAATCCAAGCATTTTTGCAAGGGTGGTGTGCATACATCCATTATCTTATCCTTTGCATGTTTGAAATCATTTTCTCTCTTGCACTCGGCCGCACACCCCAAACTATGATATATCCAAACAATATTGCATGCTCATCAATGTAATTTTTCACAAACCATGAAACTTGCATGGTCATCCACACAGTTTTGCGCAGAGCATGACATGTACCAATTTTTCTGGGCGGCGTGAAACCCTTCATTCAAATAATGTTTGTGCCAATACCCCGGTCCCCCCCCCCCACTCCGGGGTCGGAGGGACCGCATGCGTGTTCCCAAAATGTCCGGTAAAGGGGTACTTTTCACGCACCAAATTCCGGCTCGTAGTACACCAAAATCTGGCCCGTATTGACTTTACACACCGGACTTAGGGGGGTGTTTTCAAAAGGAGGGAACATGCATACGGGTACCCTGAATAACACTGAGTGGGAGGGGGGGGGGGGGGCTAATACCTTGTGTGTTGAGATAGTAGTGCTTCCAGAGTGGTCTGAGTTTGGTGTCTCCTCCTACGTCCCAGATAGTGAAGTTCAGATTCTTGTACTCCACTGTCTCTACATTGAAACCTGTAGAAAGGAATTGAAAGCGAGTCCCAATAGTGTAAACAAATAATTGTGGTGGGTTTTTTTTTGGGGGGGGGGGGGGGCTTGGAGGAAGGAGGGGGCTGGGGGTTTCTTGCATTTATTTCTTGCATTTAATAAATTAATTTGTAATCAACTACAGTATTAATATTTTTTTGAAGGGGGTGGGGGTGGGCTGAGCCCCAAAAGCCCTCCTTTTGAAGTGCTACTAAAGAGTTCTTGATGGCTGACATGTTTTTATTCATACCATCTATTCTTGGAGTTAACACACAGAAATTGAATGGTTATCCTATATTATACAATTTGAATTTATGCATCATACCTTTACTATAGTGTAACCTGAATTAATTAGTGATAAAAATGGTAAAAACAGCAACAATATACATAAAAGGATGAGATATTTGCATTTAAACATTGTTTCATTATGAATATGGGGAAAAGTAATTTTTGCATTAAAACGTCTAAAAAGATTTTTTAAATAAAAAAACCATGATAAAGTTCACTACGATACACTACAAATATCTTTCTTCAAGGTAGAGGGCAGCAGAGCGTTAAATATACTGGCACGATATCAAGTTATAAGGAATACTCAAATAGAAAAACAGGCAGATTGATTTGTAGAGCCTAAAACTAAGCATCAGAATGCCTTGGATGTACAACATTGCAATTACCTATTGTGCGTATTGTTTGGATGAATTCATTCTGCTTGAGTTTGAAGAGGATGGTAGTCTTGCCAGCATTATCCAAACCTAGCACTACAACCCTCATCTCCATCTTAGGCCCTATGTGGACTCGGTTATCCTGCAAATAAAAACATGTAAGATAAATCATATATACATATATATATATAAGGTTGTAATTATTCTTAGTAATCATACAAGTACAATAAAACATAATCATACATGGATAAAATGTCATCTTAAGCCGTATACATGTCTGTATATGCAGTGAACAACTAAATTATTCATACCCCTTGTAAATTTGATGTTTTTGTGGGGTTTTCTTTGGTATCAAACTCAAGAATAAAAGGTGGACTGGTTGAATTAGGGCCATTGTTGTATACTTTTAGATGTAAGCTTAAAATGGCACATTCTCAAGAAAAAAAATAGGGTTTTATCAATTTTTCACATACAAAACTTGGTATTAAAGGGTATGAACAATTTAGTTGTCAACTGTACATGTATACGTACAGTGACCGGATATTCAATCTTGTGACAATAACTCCAGGATGTAAAAGGTATAGGATTATTGTTGCAATTAGGTTGTAGGTTAGATTTAAGATAAGGTCAAATGTTTGGTCTATGGTTGAGGTCAAGAATTTGACCAGTCAAGGAATATGACGCAGAGCAATTTTGCAGGAGAAAGGATCATTCAACCAAAACATGGATTACTAAAGATACACTACATGAAATACCATGTTACAGCAACCTTATTTCATATGATGCTATAACTCAAGCAGTGCTCGACACTAACAGGATGTCTGGGACACTTGGATGTCAAAAATTTGATCATACTACAACAATCATGACAACTAGATTATCCATACTCTTACAAAGTTTTGAAATGTTTAAGTATGTAATAAAATGATTTGTCCTGATTTATTTTCTGGAGGGTGTGACATATTAAAGCTTAAATCTAAAAGTATTCAAGTAAAGACCTAATTCAACCAGTTCTTGAGTTACAAAAATATTTTTGAATATCAAATTTACAAGAGGTGTAAATAATTTAGTTGTTAACTGGATATCATTACTTGAAATTGATCTAGATATCTGTAATACTACTGCTACTATAACGATACATTGTACTTTAGTTGTTCTACCATCACCGCAACTAATGTGCTGCTACCACAACTACAAACCTTGGTGAACGTGACCGGTATGTTAGCATCTAGCTGGATATGTTCTGTGATGTCCGTAAACTGTTGTTTGTGAGTCTGCAGAGAGTCTTGGAGGGATGAAACTTCTTGTTTGGAGACCAGCAGCTTGGCATCATCCTGGAGCAGGGTGAAAAAGGTAGAAGAATATTAAATGGAAAAGGAAACTCAGACCCATCAATATCAATGACCATTTATTTAAATTTTTATAAAACAGAAATTCATGTTTTGTAGTTTGTCCATTAGGGCTATGCACTGCACTTGGTTAAAGCCACAATTAAGCCAGATAATGAACTCTTACAATTCTTGTTCATTTCCAGCAATTAAGACTTAATCTACATGCAGTGCATTCTCATTAATACACGCGCAAACTGATTACTTTTGTACAAGTATATTTGAGAGCCTTGAGATATGCTTAATCCTTGACATCATATGATCTCAGGAACCTACAGTGCCAACATATAATAGTATGATCGTTTAAAAAAAAACAGGGTTTGGTTTCATGCACTCAGGCCCCAAAGTATGTGAACATGTACGGGTGGGTGAAGGTCTAATCACAAGCTGCTTTTATGTTCATAGAGAGTACATTTAAGCGGGCAGTATCTCTGAGACTCTCTATAGAAGTAATATTTGAACTAATGTTTTTAACATAGTGTAGCTCCATGGAACCCCTAACCCCTGTGATTGGTGCAATTTAACCCATTGCCTACGAGAACTGGTCTGCTCCTGTAATAAAGCCTATAGGAATGGGAGAATTCAGTAGTCAATGGGGTTAATCTGAATTCCTTCCTATGTATGAAATACTACTTACAATACCAGGGGGGTGTTTCACAAAGACTAAGATTGACTTTAAGTTGGACTTAAATATGGCAGGCTGTTCATGCCACTGTTTGCTCTCACCATTTACTGGCATTGGCCTCTCAAATCATGGTCACAAATCTACATTTTTTGATAATTCATTATTGAAGGAAAACATATTATCTACAGATCATAACGGTGAGAGCAAACAGTGGCATGAACGACCTACCATAGTTAAGTCCAACTTAAAGTCGATCTTAGTCTTTGTGAAACACCCCCCTGAGCTCAACTTGAGCTTAAATACTAACCTGATAGAGCATTGATTCACACTCATAGCTCATGGAAGCAATACTTGAATTCATGAAAGCAAAGTGCTCCTGCTGCTGTCTCAGTAGATGTAGTCTTTCTCTGATGTGGGTGTCCAAGACGCTGGCAGCCACCTCCTCTTGCCTCTGCAGAGTCTCATGGAGCTCAGCAAAGTAGGTCCGGACCTTGGCTCTAGCCATCTCAGCCATTCCTGGTACCTGAAGGTTAAAGACATCCATCATTTTCTTTGTCGTAAGTGCTGTAGTCGTGGGCGTCATTCCATATAACCATTGTAAGTACAAGTTCACGGACATCCCATTTGAATGTGTGTTTTGGATTAAACACACATTTCAATAGAAAGTCGGCACACTTATGGTAGTTTTGTGAAACGATAGGTTTTCACACAACATTCAAAACCAATTTTGAATGTTCAAGACCTTAAATACATGCAGATGATATCTTTCAAATAATTATGGTAGAAACTGCATGAAATTTAAGAAAATCAAACATGCACATAAAGTTCATAGTACCCATACGCATATCCTATTTTCTCGAATGAGTCACTGAATGATTCCCAGCAACTTTCTGTTAGTTTATTGATATTTCCTGATAAATACAACAAATATTGTACAAGCTAGGTTGTCTCAAAATGAAATTGCAAATACCAAAATTCCAGATGAAGCTTCAATTTCTATAAGACTTGTTATTTTGTATGTGAAAAGAGTTCTTCTCTTTATATCTGTGAACGAAAATGTAAAAATAGTTGATATTTTCATCTCTCAAACAGATACTCACATGTCTTGGTTCAGCGACCCCATCCAGATCTTCGATAATCCCAACACCGCCCTCTACCTGTTGAATGATGTCACCCAGTCTCCGACCGGATTCTGAGATCTCCTCACTGAACAGTCGAACCTGTTGCACCATACCAACTACTACAGACCTGGTACTCTCGGCCTCTTGTTCTAGTAATGTGTGCTGTGAGCAGGAAATACAAATAGATGTAGAATATTGTTAGCAGGAGGAAAGGGAGGGAAGGAGGGGGGTCTGGAGTTAAGCATTATCCTAAATTATTTTTAAGCCCCTCTGCACTAGTTTGGCCAGGAGGGATTAGACCTCCCTGCAAGGTCACAGGCAGGTGGTTATCTCATCAAATCAGCTTCCAATTATCATAAGAACAAGGGCATCATGGGGGATCAACAGGTACTGCTTAGGCATTGTTGGCTGTATAGAGGGTGCAAGTAGCTATAAGTAGTGCAATGGGGCTTTAAAGCAAAATCTTGATATGAGAATGCTTGTACACGAATGTAAAGAAGAATCACATGATATATGAAATATGGTTACATCACTGAAACACATTCATAAACACATTCTTTAAAAAAAATATATCCTTGCAGATTACTACAACTACCAAAGGTCAAAGTTCAAAGGTCCTACCTTATGTCCTCTATGCTTGCCGTAGTCCTTACAGACGAAGCACATGAGTGGCATAGCTTGACATTCGACCTCTTGGCAAGCAAACTCTATGATATGAGGGCTATGGTCCTGACATACTGACTTCTCCCTAGGCTTCTCAGATAGTGGTACCTGAAAGACAATGAGGCAAGGGTTCATCTAAAATAATTCAAATCCGTACAAAACTATATTTAACAGGGCTGATAGTGAGCACCCTCAACCACGCCCCCTTTAATAAAAAAAATGCTATCTGACAACATTCCCCCCTTTTGAGTAAGAAAATTGGAAAAAAATAGGGAAAAGTAGAGAAAATAAGGGGAAAATCAGGAAAATCAGGATAAAATCGGGAAGAAAAAGAAGAAGAAAAAAAATCTGGAAACAATCAGGAAACCGATTTAAATCGGGTAATTATCAGGCCTGATTTAAAGATAAGGTTGAGTTCTGGTAATGATAGAAAATAAATTCTCACAGAATTCCAACAAAACTTACACTGAATGTTTGAGATTACAAATAAATGACATGTGACAAATGATTTTGGTAGAAAATGTATAAGGGCTGAGTAATGAGCATAAAAAGATAAGGAAATCAAGGTATAGTCCCGACACCATGTGCTTAACACAGGTTACTATGTGCAAATGAGAGCTAGTTGTGGTTTTTATTGAAGATGATTTCTAGCAAGTTGTTGTGAGTTTGTTTTTATTTTACTAATTCAAACAATCAATTATAGCCATGTTCTCTCGACATACCATTCCCATGCATACCAGAGTTCTAGATTAGCTTTAAGTTGCATTATGACGTGCATCAAATTTCATCATGTGGCATGAAAGTTTGGTCCGAACACCTCAGTTATTTCATCATATTTTGACTATTAGGGCATTTGAAGATCTTTTTTTTTTTTTTTTTTTTTTTTTGGGGGGGGTCATTTCTTCTACGATATTATTTACAACTGACATACAAATAAAAGAATTCAAAAAGCTTGAACTCCGTGCATTTTGACCTTCCGGTAGCTAATGCACAGTAAGCATAAGCAGTATTGTTGCAAAAATGAGAACAGAAAGTTTGAAATGAAAGAAATAAAAGTATTGGATTACCATCACAAACTTGCATAAAAAGCTTTAATACTCTGATGTCCACAGGATATTACATATGTGTTTGGCTAGGAATCTTGTTAATTTACTAAACTGGGCATAACAAGTTCACAGCGGATTTTCTTCTCTCACCAAAAAGAGTCATCGGCTTGCATGGTGATGTAGATATAGAGTAGGCTTGCAGATGCACCATGTGAGAGACGACGGAGAGTCAACCTGTTTGAAACATTGAGCCACTCCCGCCACCCATCCTCTCCAATAAGCTAAGAAAGATAACCAACAGTCTTTTTCAAGACTACACCAACAGTCCTTTTCAGGACTACACACCCTCAAGAAAGATTACGAGAGTCCTTTTCAGGACACTTCAATCCTCCCTTTCTCTCACATGGTGCATCCCCTAGCCTACTGTATAGAGTCATCTTCGTAACAGATAGTAAAAGTGAGAAGTTGATAATTATTATGAAGGTTTTATTATTTCAAATTAACATATTTATGAAATAGTTTGTTAATACCTGTCTGTGTTTAGCGAGGGTACGTGTTGAATGAGTGGCCTGGGCACAGCGAGCACACAGGTTGGTACTGCATACGGTACAGTAGACCTCAGCATGGTGACTCTCATTCTCATCACAAGGTACGCCACTCTCCTACACGCAATCAGGGAGGGAAAATTGTTATTTAAAGGCATCGTTTAACAATGTTAAATCTGAAATGCATGGCCTACATGTTATCAGTGTCTGCGATATGGTGTAACATTGAAGCCCTACGAAAATTGCACTTCAAAATGATCAAGAAGTGCCTCAAAAAAGTAAAAAATCTATGAGTGACTGGTTTTACCATACTCGTTTTTCCCAATAGACTTTAGTGTTATGAAAACCGTTAGGATACAAAATATTCATGGGCGTAAATCTGCAATTGATACCTATTGTTCAGGGGGGGATGATCTATTCATACATCGCCCCCCCTGAACAATAGGTATTACGTATTTACGTAAGGATTTACGCCCATGACATGTGCATGTACATGTAGTTTTTCATTAGAATTAGCTGCAATTCTAAATGATTTCTCTCTATTTCGTTTCTAATCATATTAACCTGCTTTCACTACCACCTAGATGTACAGCTCTAAAGACTCCTTTTTTAATTTTTTTTAATTCCTCGACCAATATTTCTCACTGAAACTTGTAACAGCGCTTATAGAGACTTCGGGGGAAGAGCTTCATATCACTGGTTTTATCATTATTGTTGTTATTACAGAAATGCAAGCATTTATACCACCTGCTCATAACAGGGGTGATAGCGAGCACATTAACAAAAATATATAAAAAAAAGGATTCAAGAAAAAAAAATGGCATCTAACAACATTCCCGCCTTACGAGTACCGGTAAGAAAATTGGGGAAAAATCAGGGAAAATTGGGGGAAAATTGGGGAAAATTGGGAGAAAAAATAATCGGGAAACCAATTTAAATTGGGTAAATATCAGGCCTGTCATAAAGACCCTTTTTTTCTTATAAAACTTGAGCAGTCTCTATAAATAGGTTTTTCTATACCTCCAATCTATTTGGCCCCTTGCAGTTGTAGACTCACCCCTTTCCGTTGACTGATCAAGCCTCCGTCTGCAATAAGACTCGTCTCCTTGGACGTCTGTAACCTCTCAAGGAGTTCCAACAGGGCAAAATTCTTCTTGAGCCCCCAAACCCCAGAGTCGGTCAGCTCAGTGGGCTGACGGTCAAACGGACAGAGTATGGCCCTGCCTTGTAGGGTCAGCCTCGACAGACACTCGTGACAGAGGGTGTGGCCACATAGCAGGAGGCGTGGCACCTTGTCACCTTGGAGACTGAAGATATCCTCACACACCCGACATTCCAAGACCTGGAAGATAAATAATAATGAGTTAGAAATGTGGTTATTGCTATTAAAAAAAATGTACCTTTCATCACAATCTATTATTAGATCTAGACCTAGATCTAAACATCTAGATCTATTGTTTACCTTGATTCACCTTGATGTTGGGCTTCAAGTATAATTACTTATATGCCCCTCTGTAGCAGGATTAATGTCTGTATGTACTGGGGCCATGGGGATTGCTATTTATATATTTGATATAGGTATAGGTAGGGTGTCTGAAAGATTTTTCAATTTTCAATTTGGGATCGTTTTTCACCATTTTTGTTGGATATTGGAATAAAAAATGTAATCAGAATAATACCTTTCAAATTTCAAGACTCACCGATGTTTCTATCAAAAGATACAGCCCCTCAAAAACTGTGCAATATTCATAGCATTTTGGTCAGAATGGACAGAAAAGTGGTTCACGCAGAGTTATAATTTCTGCTCAAAAGCTGCACAGCTAATGCACAGCACGATATGCAAAGCGTGGAGCAAGGGTATTTTCAAACTGTTGTAACAAATGATCCCTTGGGACTAGAGAAAAAATAAGTGCATGGATATATTCTTTACAGCTGGCCCAACTTATCCCTCGGGGGAGCAGTTCGTGAAATTGGTAAATCTCCGAGTTACCATGGAAACGATGTTTAAATCGCTGTTTTGAGCAAGATATTTTTAGAATTCCGGGGGTGGCCCCCTATGGGGAATATGGAGAAAAACCTGCTCTTTCATATGACACCACATTTATTGAGTTTCACCTTCAGGATCATTTGTTATAAAGGTAGGGTGTCTGAACGATTTTTCAATTTTCAATTTGGGATCGTTTTTCACCATTTTTGTTTGATATTTGAATAAAAAGTGTAATCAGAATAATACATTTCAAATTTGAAGCTTCACCGATGTTTCAATCAAAAGATACAGCCCCTTCAAAATGCTGGTATATTCATATCATTTTGGTCAAAATCGACGAAAAAGACGTCCACGCAGAGTGATGTTGTTTTGCTAAATTTAGCCAAACAGCTGTATCGCGCGATATGCAAGCGTATGCATATCGTACGCATGCTGCTAAGCCAATGCGCGACTTGCAAGCTTGAGCTACGCTGTCTCCGCGACACGTGCCATTGACTAGTATGGTTAGCGTTCGTCGCACAAAAAACCCGGAAGTGAATGCACGTTATAGTCAATGGCAATATCGCGGAGATGTCTCCGCGATATTGCCATTGACTATAACGTGTATTCACTTCCGGGGTTTATGGTGGGAACGGCCATCCATACTTTCATTCACTATAAGCGCACATGTTACGCGATGTAACCATGGTTTGGACTGAGCGGAGCTCACGCCTCCCTAATTAGCTGATTCCAAAAATGTGGGAAGGGTATTTTTAAACTGTTGGGGCGAGTGATCTCTTGGGGCTAGCGAAAAAATAAGTGCATACATATTTTCCTTACGTCTAGCCGGACATAAGCCCGGGGGGCGCAGCTCAGGAAAGTGGCAAATTTTGGAGCTAGGATGCAAACAACATTTAAATCGCTGTTTTGACCAAGATATTTTTAGAATTTCGGGGGTGCGCCCCTTTGGGGAATATGGAGAAAAACCTGCTCTTTCATATGACACCTCATTTATTGAGTTTTACCTTCAGGATCACAAGCCCCAAAGGTTTGAATTTCAATTTTTTTCATAAAATCATTGACCAATTTTCATGGTCGCGCAATGCACGTAGACTGCATAGGGATGCGTGCAATCTCTATGGGAAGTATTTTAGCACACAACATCGGGTGCGCGATCAGACACCCTAATAAAGGTTTGAATTTCAAATTTGTCATAAAATCATTGACCAATTTTGCTTGGTCGCGCAATGCATGTAGACCACATAGGGATGTGTGCAATCTCTATGGGAAAGATTTTAGCACACAACATCGGGTGCGCGATCAGACACCCTAGTATAGGGTCTATATATCAATTCTTAAAAACAGATTTTGAAATTAAAGATTGACAAGCTGAAGGGAATGATACTATAGTATTGATAGTACAAACACAAAAATACACAATAACTGACTTTAAATGACAAATTTTATGAGAAATTAATTTTGTAAAGCTAACGTTAGATTTGATTTTGAGATCTAGTTCTAGATCTACTAGGCCCTACTAGATTATAATTCTAAGCTAAGTAAGACAAATTTTAGAAAAGATCCTTACTGCCTTTAGTCTACTTTGACTCTTGAGAAGCATTAGACAAGAGCTAGTTCGACAAGTAACTTGAGTGATAGCAAAACATCGGGCACTGTCATGAATCATGATCATAATGATTACCGGTAAAATGTCTTGAACTGAAAGCCCAACTGCTGAGAACACAGCTCCAGCATTCTTTCAGAATCTCGGGTTAACATATTAAAGCCTAGGCTAATTAGACTAGGTAAAGTAAAGTACCCCTTCATTGGAATGTACACGCCTTCCCCCTCCTTCCCCACATTATCTCTCTGTCTGTGTTTGAAATAAAGTTTCCTAATTCTGTGATGGATGAAATGTAAACGACCTCTTAAATCTTTGGGAAGACTTCCTTAATTTTGCGACAGGCAGCCACCCAAATTGAAGAAAACAAAATATGGGTAGGCCTAGGCCTACAAAACTTACAATATACATGTACGTGTACAGCTTAGATTAGGATAATAATATGATAACATACATCATGATAAAATATAGTTAGGGTTAGGGTTAGTATTAGATGACATTGTGAGAGTAAGACTAAGACACTCGGCCTGGCCCGGCCTGGCCCGGCCCGGCGACATGAGACGTGTGCGTGTGATCAATAAGCCAGTTTCGTAATGTAACCAAATTTAATGCATACGTCTTTGTGAAGTGCCTCAATACAAATTATTTCATTCACCTGATAAGAATAATAGTATTTCAATAGTCAGAATGCAACTGCATATATTAAGTGTTGCTAGGTAGGTCAAGCCATAATGTTTGTCCAACCTGGCAACAACTTAATATATGCAGTTGCATTCTGACTATTGAAATACTATTATTCTTATCAGGTGAATGAAATAATTTGTATTGAGGCACTTCACAAAGACGTATGCATTAAATTTGGTTACATTACGAAACTGGCTTATTAAGGTGATTTTGAAAATTTGATTGAAAGAGGTCCGACGCGACGCGACGGTCGACGGCCGACGGTCAACTTACATTGGAATTTTTCTGCTTTGGTCGAGCACCAGACAACCGTCTGAGGACACCGACATCTGCACTTGCCATTCTAAGCCTAGGAATTGGCAAAATTGGTATGTATTCGGCTTATCTCTTGATTTGGTCTAATTTTCTTGCTCTGATCATCCCTTCTACCGGTCTAAAACACCTAGAAATCCAGTGCAGTCAATATTTACATTATAACTGTTTGTAATTACACCGCAGATGGCGCTAGAGATAAAAGCAAAATGGATGTCGTGAGAGAAAAAGAGCAGCTGCTGTCAATAAAAGGTATAAAATCTCAGTTTGTATCTTTCTTCCTGGATTTGATTATAATTTGAGCAAGTGATAACTTTTGAACGTGCTTATAATATAGATTTTAAGGACATTATCTCGTTACGTATTTTTAGTGAAAAATAAGTAGGCGTGTCAGTTGCAGTGTCGTGACTGAGGCCCCACATATTGATTTCTGTGTTTGTAGTCTGTTCATCTATTCTTTTCATCCAATTTGATTATTTGAATTATGACAAGTGATATGAATTCGAATTCATTCATTTCAGCCATAGATTTTCATTCAAGGAAGAGGATAGGATAGAGGGGAGAATAGAATATAATTAGAAGAAGGGGGAGGATCAGGGTGACAAAAGAAAGGAAAGGAAGATGAAGAACAACAAGAACATGAACTTGAACTTGAACTGAAGAAGAAGGAGGAGGAGGAGAAAGAAGGAGAAAGGAGGATGAGAGAAGCAGAAAAAGAAGAAATAAAAGAAGAGAAAACATGAAGAGAAAACATGAGGAGAAGAAGAAGAAGATGCTAATTTCTTTAAGTAGCTCTTACAAGCTATCCCACTCCCAGAAAGATAAAACAAGAAAGAGCATGCGAGGAAGTAGACCGAATTTTCCGTCTCTTTCGTTCGTTAGCCTCTTATTGGGGTAGGGTCGGCCGGCTCTCTCTTTAGAGACGGAAACCGTCTATACACATTCCCTTGATAACGCCACGGCCATTTCAGGTCGTAGCGTTTTGCCCCCAAAATCCCCCAAAATGTCATTTTACCTCGTGCATATCCACATGTAAATTAGGCCTAGGCTATAATAAATCAGTTCCACTTACCAACTTGACTGAAATAATCAGTTTAATAGTCCCTTTTTAGGAAATTATGGGTCAAAATCGAAATCCATTTTGAAAATCTTTTTCAACATGGATTTCGATTTTGACCCATAAATTCCTAAAAAGGGACTATTAAACTGACTATTTCAGTCAAGTTGGTAAGTGGAACTGATTTATTATAGCCTAGGCCTAATTTACAATATAAAATGCACGAGGTAAAATGACATTTTGGGGGATTTTGGGGGCAAAACGCTACGACCTGAAATGGCCGTGGCGTTATCAAGGGAATGTGTATAGACGGTTTCCGTCTCTAAAGAGAGAGCCGGCCGACCCTACCCCAATAAGAGGCTAACGAACGAAAGAGACGGAAAATTCGGTCTAGCGAGGAAGAGGAAGGGGAGGAGGACGGGATAGAATCGGAAGAATTGAAGATCTTGGTGGGGGGGGGGGGGGTCTATAAGTGTACATCCTATGCATAAGATGTCAATTAACGATGATATCAGTTGGTGCTGATTATGATTACATGATGATGATAGTAAGAAAGCAATATTAAAAGATGTAAATATCTGTCACAATTAAGAAGCAGAAACTTATGTTACGAAAATTGAAGTTAAACATGGATATTCAAAGATAAAGCTGCTCCAACTGTATTTTTCCATGTTTCTGATGAGGGTTTAAGTTGGAGTATGAGTTGGTCTAGTAATTTTTTTTTTATTTACATCATGTACAAAGTTACATGGTTCACCATACAAATGTGGCCATCAGCAATTCCACTGACTTTTTCTCTTCTTATTCATCTTCTTCTTTGATCATACAGTAATGAGGCTAACAAAGCCTTCATTTGTCTCAAACATTCCTATTCTATGTGAGAGCAGAGATCTACCTGGAAATGGTGAGTAATTTTTTTAAATTTTTAAATTTTTGTGTTTATATTTTTATTTATTTATGTTTATTATATTTATTGATTTTTTACAATTTTTTTGTCTTTGTTCATTTCTTGCTTTGCTGATCATGATTTAAAGAAATGCAGAACCAGGTGGAGGAGGAGGGAAAAGAAAACAAATGAAAGGAGAATAATTTCTTGTGTATATTTTATTTGTATTTTGTACCTGTGCAGATTTTTTGATTTTACTGAAACTGTATATTAATCCGTCTTATTCTTATTACAACTTGTGCTATATTTGTAAAGTTATTTGTATAATTTGAAACTTTTGAAAATTTAAATTTGATATTTATGGCCTGTTATCAAGTAATGTACATTTCTATTCTTTCCAGACACCCATATGAATGTAGCCCTGTTAAATATGTTTCAAGCCCCTTTTCTATTTTTCCCTTCTTTTTCTTGCTAGGTAATGCATATCTTGAGCTCCCTTACCACACTAGACATTTTATCCTGTCAAGTAGAATTTGAAAAACCTACAAAGTACAAGTGCACTTTTTGACATCTTCAAAATCAATCTAGTATGTTTTCTTTGATATAATAGGCCTACCAGTAATTGTACATTATAAGCCAACTTTATGATTCAATGATTAAAATTATTTTATTTCTCATCCAAAACATTATACCAGAATAATTATATCACAAAAATTATGCAATGAAACGACAAATATAATAGAAGAAGCACAAGAAAAGATGAACTAACTTGAAGCAGAGCTTGTTGAAGTGTAAGAAAAAGAATCCCAAGTTACAATATCGCTTACTGTTACAAGTGTACTTCTTATCTTATCTTTTCCAGTCTCATCTGAGTGTAAGCCAGCAGACTTTTATTCCAGTCGTGGAGCTGTGTCTGGTCTCCCTGGTTTCACCATGGGAGAAATTCTTACTCTTCCACAGAACTTTGGGTAAGGGGTTTCAAAACAATGTGACCAAGGGGATGTTTCACAAAGATACTAAGTTGAACTTATCTCTAAGTTGGACTTCAACATTATGGAGAGCCATTTGTAGCCTTAAAATAAAATGTATTAAAAAGCAAAAATTCAGGTATTTTAGACTTTTTATAAACTCCCTATCAAGAACATGAAATCTCCTTGATAATAGAAAATATGAATGATTTGAATCAACATTTTATGCCTTTTAAAATAACTTTTACAAAACATTTTCAAAGATGCTAACGCCTTTCCATAATTTCTAAGTCCAACTTAGAGATAAGTTCAACTTAGGATCTTTGTGAAACACCCCCCATGTGCAATAATAACAGTTTGATATGAGTTGTAACTTTTTCTCGGTATTCACATCTTTTGTACATCTAGTTAAGTTCAAAGTCTCAGCATCTCTACTAATGCGGGGTCATGGATGGGATACATTTCCTGTTTGTTGAAAATGTATAAATTGTTTCATTGCTCTCATCACCATTTTATATTTGATGAGTATCATACATGTACATTGTAAGTATAACGGCTACTCATCACATTTAACCATGAGGTTTTTCAATCATTTTTGTTGTCGTCTCTCTCCTAACATCCAGCTTATTTTATAGATTTTTAACAAAAAATGTTTTCTCAACTTATTTGCAGGAGCATATATTTAGGTGAAACATTCTCCTGCTTTGTGAGTGTGCATAATGACAGCCTACAAAACAGCCAGGTAATTATCTAAAAGAATGTTTATTTCTTAACACTATTATTTCCAGTAGCATCACATTAAATGAGAAGATTGGAAATAAAGCTTAGGTATGAATATGATTGTCATAAATATTACAAGCAATTATCTCATATTAAATCAATAACATGATTTGCACTATGCTGTCTTCATGACTTCTTTTATGTTATGACTTTATATCTACAAAGGTACTCCAGATTTTCTTGAACTACCGGTACATCAAATAATGGGCAAGATTTTGAAAGAAAAGAAGAAAAAAGGCGAAACTGCTCTGTGAAGTATTCATGTATTGCAAAGTAATTGAAATATGTCTGGAGGAGAGGGGGAAGGGGGGGGGGGGGGGTGGGGCGATGTCTTTTTAGGATTAATATTAACTTCATTAAGACTACGAGCCAATCAATATTTGGACTGTCTGATTGAAAATTTCAACAAGATGTTTTTTATATGGTATTGTGTATATTCTTCATATCTCTTTAAATGTCTTTCTTTCCTTGTCTCATCATCATACGACCAGGATATCCATGTGAAGACTGATTTACAGACTAGCTCTCAGAGATTGACCCTGTCTGGAGGGTCGACCCCACCCTCCCCTAACCTTGCCCCAGGGGCATGCATTGATCAGGTCATTCATCATGAGGTCAAAGAATTAGGCACTCACATGTAAGTTACCTCTTTGCGCTTCCTTAAAGCCTTGTTTCATCTCACCGACAACGATAACTATAAAGACATTTTGGATCAGAGATGCTGTATATGATTCTTGTGCTCTAAAGAAGTATCAATCATAAGTGATGGGAATATCAAGCAATAAGTGACTTATTTCTTCAACCACATTCTCTGATGATGATGGATTCTCTACTTTTTATTTGTCATTTTTGTCGTAGATTGGTGTGTGCTGTCAGTTACACCTCTCCATCTGGCGAGACACTGAGTTTTAGGAAATTCTACAAATTCCAGGTAATTGTTTGTTAATATTTTATACCATATCACTTTCTCATTGTTAATCTAGAAATTCTACCCTGACACAAAATTATACAATTTGAAAGGGAGAATGGGAGAAATTATTTATTATCTTTAACATGTTTGCAAATTGGTATTTAAAAAAAAGTTCAATTGATGATTTAAAATTATTGCCTCAAATAAGGAATTTATTGAAATGATTGATAGTGATCATCTTACAAAAATGAATATATCCAAGGACTTCTTTAAAAATTAATTCATTAATATAACTCTGGTATTCACTGTACCTTTAAGATATTCAGATATGAAAAATATATGATGGATTTTGTTGCCATCATATTAAATATGATTCTACACAATATTTGTATATGACTTTTCAATTTGCTTCTTTGTCAAGCAAAGTTGCTGTCGTAATTGATTCTCATTCGTGGTTTGTGAATTCTATATTTTATCAAGGTTTTGAAGCCTCTTGATGTGAAGACAAAGTTTTACAATGCAGAGGTAAGATGAGATGAAAAAATGGAAAAACATATCAAAATTTAGCCTTTTCAGTTCAGTAGAATGCAATCACCTGAAAAGTGTGTGTTTGGACCAATAAGAGATTGTCTTTCTTCTTTAAATTCTAAATGGGTTCATGAATTGTGCCGGTTGGTCCTATGGAAAACTGTAAAACCATTTGGATTTGTTTTTATTCACAGACAAGGCTTGTTCAGATATGGCAAGGTAAACCGTCGCCAGTAAAGAAAAATTGCTGCTGTTTTTGTATTTGTAAATTGAATGGCAACTGCTCGTAAGAAAGGACTTTCTTGTATCCACTGAGCTCTGTATTATTAGATACAGAAATATGAAGCTTATGAGTTACGCTTTGCTTCCTCGTTCAAATAATGGTGTCGTATCAGAACAAGCCTTTAACATCACAAAGAATTATCTGATAGAATCTATGTGTGTATGATTGCGAGTAAACTCCGCAGAGTTAAAGTCAGCTCCCCTTTAATCACTGCCATTATAACATACAGTCAAACCTGCTTTAGCAACCACCTGTCTACAAAGACCACATTTTTTGTTTACCTTGAAAATGGTTTCTCATTGAAACATGTACTAAAGTAACCTGTAAATAAAGACCACCTGCCTATAGAGCCCGCTTTTCTTGTCTCCCTTGGGTGGCCTTTATAGACAGGTTTTTACTTTATTTATATCATTCCTTATCAACATGTTGAGATGAGTGTAGATATCGTTCTCATAATACGATAACCAAGTGAACTCTACAGCCCCTCTTCCTTCTACTATGCTCTACAGTCTACATGCATTATATCATTCTCTCTTTCTCCTTCACCCCAGTCAAGATTTATCTTCATCTTTCCTTGTTTATTTCCCTCTCTCACAATCTCTCTCTCTCCTTGCCTTAATACTCCTCTCTGCATTTCTTCCCTCCTCTCTCTCCTTCTCTCTCCTTCTCTCTCCTTCTCTCTCCTTCTCTCTCCTTCTCTCTCCATGCAAGATCTCCTTTTCATCTCTTCTTGTTTCTATCTCCTTGTCCTTTCATAACTTCACCATTCCTTGAAATATTTAATCATGTTCTCGCATAACATTTCTCATGGTTGTATGAACAGTACTCTCTCAGAATGAGAGCCACGGGAGGATATCAGGTAATCACAAGTCAGTATAAAGATGTTAGTGTGTTCAGATAGTCTGATTGGTATCTCAAAGGTTTTATATGAAAATATTTAGAAAATTACCAACGCAACAACATTGGCATAGAAAGAGTCCTTCATTTACTTAGGCTTAATCAGTATCATATAACTGACTAAGTTAAGGAGTAAATTATAAAGTGATGTAAGCAAGATTAAACTAGCCATATTCAAAGAAAGAAAACTTATTTAGAAAAACAGATGTTTCTACTATAGTTACACATGTCTGCATGCTTTAATAGTTACATAAGTATTAAACATGTCTACATTATTTGTTACAATTTAAATGTGTTATCTTAGCAACTTCATCACGTAATATAGTGGATAGTCAGCTACATGTATGTATTGTAAAACTTTGCTTGTGGACCAGTAATAGATGTGTGTATGCTGTGATCATCATAATTATTAAAAGTACAGCTAATATTTCATTTCATTTGAGTACAAGAGAACTACATGTAGAGTGCTTGTATATGTAGAGGGAACAACAATAATTCAGGCTATTAAATGGAATAGGAGCTATTTATAATAGTTAGCCCTGCATTGTAAAATAAAGGAAAGAAAATAAGAATTTGATTTTTTTTGGTTAAAAAGTTCCTTTCTGCTTTTGCGTTTGTAGTTTTAAATTTTGAGATTAACATATTCATATAAGTCACATTGTAGAATGTACTCCCTCGACCTCTTTGCACAAGTTATGTTCTAGTTGACTTCTGTATGACTGCTTCTATTAGTGTTAAAGTGTGGCATAATTTATATTTAATTTGTTTCGTTGTTAGATTTGTATGAATTGCAGCTCGGTGTGCAAAGTTAATCCCTGCAGTTGTGACAACAGAGCAAAGAGTGATGTGGTACTAGTTAAAACTATATTAATTTAATAATTGGGCATGCAAGTTTGATTGATCCAGTATCTTTGTTAGCCTGTTGTCTTGTTGTCATAGCTACATGTATTTTCTGTTCTTTCTTTAATTTAGCATTTCTGAAAGGTTTGCATTAGTAAACTTATTGTTATTTTTTGTTTTCCTGAGATTCAACTCGTGCAAGGAGAAGAATAAACTACCGGTAGTTATTCAGTTTTAAATTGCAAAGTTTAGTATACAAACTGCTTCTTTTTTTTTTCTTCTAGAGTACGATGCTGACAGAGATAAATGTAGTGTCATTCTAGTGATGTTCGTATCTGTTTATCATACAGTAGATTACAAGTGTGCGAACATAAAACTATCTGAACCTTAGTTTATCTCATTCTCAGATTTTTTATCTTTAGAGATTCTATTCAATTTGAAATGCTATGCAAATTTATGTTAATGATAAATTCAAATATAGAACATTATACAATACTGTTAATTGATAAATCAGAAATGTGGCGTATAGTTAAATAGCAGGCTCTCTGCCTAACATGTTGGTTTCATGTGTTATCTTACTCAGGTGCTTTGTTTTTAAAGACATACTTAATGTAAATTCATCAATAGAATTTTAAGAATTTGCTCTAGGTTTAGGTTACCATGTCAGTCATGAATACTTAGGTGTTTGTTTTTATTTAATTTACATCATTATTTTCCCCCTTTTCTCTTGTTTGCATGAACCAAACTCTCTTTCATATCCAACCAAATTTGCCTCAAAATCAGGATCATGTTGTAAGTCTTGAAACTTTTTGGTTACAAATCATTTGTTCTTTGTCACAATATGATTTGCTATTATGCTGCAAGCATTTGTCATGGCTGTTCCCCCATATTTTATCTTACTTAGATTATTATTTTTTGTTATAGACGAATTGTGATATTGTTTTTCCTGTGAATGAAATTGATGTCTATTATTTATTCAGAATAATGAATTAAGCCATCATACAGCAATGCCTCATTTACTATTATATGGTTGTGCAAAATATATAATACAATGTGATATCGGCATTATATAATATTTGCAATATATCAGCTACCAAAGAAAAATCATCTTATGCTGACTGACTCAAGTGCAATTAATAAGATTGTTAAAGTTAATGCAAAACATTTGTTTTACTTATTTATTACTTTCCCTTGATGTAAGCATTTTTATTATATTTTGATGATAATAACATCACATTGTAATTTACCCACAGAAGAATTCTCACAGGCACTTAAGTGAAATTTTGAAAAAAAAATTGTTTTCAAGCCAAGCCTTCTTTCTCAGTGCAGCCAATAAATTGTTTCAATTGTCATCTTATATCTTCTAATACTTCTTAAATATCCCCATCTCAGTTTTTAAGTGAAATAGTTTCTTTAAAAAAAAAATCATTTAGGTAACAATTTGAAATACCTCTAAAGAAACTCTTTAATCTGGTGATATGAATAAGTCATTTAATTAGACTACGGTAGTCTTGTTACGACTTGGTCAAGAATAACTTAGATGATTTAAAAAAATAAAATGTTTTAACCTTTAAAAAAACAACTATTTCTTAATGTAAATTTTCAGACCAAATTTAGATCATGACCCTGGAGGACGCCTAGATTATCCAGAAAACTGGGGAAAATTAATATTTTGACAATTTTCCCACTTCTTTTGCTCCATCTTTGATATTGGAAATCAATGCACATCATTTGCCTGGCAGCATGAATATTTCAATTAACATCCTGCTACATGTACATCCAAGTTTTTGTTTCCATTTTTTAAAATTATTTTTTTCTTCCTATTTTATTAATTATCCATGACTGAATCTAGATGTCTTATAATAAAATGAAAAAGCGCTCCTACATTTATCACTGTTTATTTCTTTATAAATTAATGTCAACATTGTAATGAATTTGTTATGTACTTTGTCATCCTCATTTTGCCTGTTCCATTTATTATTGTTCATTTTTAAAAACAAATTCCATGAATGTCAAATTATTTTGATCAATATATCTTCTCCACATGCACATTTATTTTTCATTGCATTTTAAACTCATTGCAATTCCTTGTGCATGAAATCAAGCGAAGTGCTGTTGGAAAAAAAGTATGAAATATAGCTGTTGTTCATTGCAACCAAAAGTAGTGTAATGTTAAATTATTAATATTCAGATTCAAACTATAATGAAATGATACAAATGAGTCCTAATTGTTACAATAAGAACAGGAATAGTTACATTCATCACTGCATGTAGTGCTCTAAAGAAAAAAGAAAAAAAAAGGAGAAGGGGGGGGGGGGCAAAGATCATTTATCTAATAAGAAAATCTCCCGGTAAAGGTTAACCACCCCTTTTCAATTGGACAAAGCCCTCCATTTTATTTTTATTTGATTAATTCTCTGAACGGAATTGCTATCAGCAACTTATTTCAATAAAGAAGAGATCACATTCCATAACAAGTACCGGTATATGAAACTGCAATGAATGCATGCATACAACAAATCACTATGCAATTAATTATCATGCTCATTGCTAGTAACTACAATGATGTTGATAGGGCAAACATAACGATAATTAAATGTGAACAGGCTTTCATCAAAGCACATGTTTTTAAGATATGATTTTGTATGAAATATGCACATGAATATATACTACCATCTGTGCATGAATTAGTGCACATTGTGAATGCCTGCCATAAAATGTAATATATGTGTTATTGAATGTTTAAGAATTGTATCGCATGGTTTATTTTATAAGACTGTATTCCTATCTTTACTACTTCTGGCCTTCATTTGAAATACATGGCTGGTAAATGGGTTTTACATACGTGATCGATAATCACCCAGTAAATCTGGTGCTATACTAATTTAAAACTTTAAGTATTTTTAATAGTCCCTTTTTTCAGGTCTATGTTAGAATATTGATGTATTGGATGTTCAAATTAATATCTTTAATCTATTCTTGATCTATTCCTGAACTATCAAAAGGCAATAGAATGTGCCACCTGCCAAAGTTTGTAGCTTTTAACTAAGAAATAGTCAAAAACAAAACAAAACAATCAACAAGAAGCCATTAATTTCAATTGAGGACCAGTTTAACCTTCATTTAACATTTCATGAAGATTTTTGTAAATGTATGCTATCAGAGTTTCAGTTTATAGCGGGAAGTCATTTTATCGGATGGTTATCAAAAACAATGTTTTGCTATCAACGCAAGGAAGGTATTTAGTCCTATTCACATTGCAACTAGACTTTAATCGCTGGTAGTCATCCGTTTATCTTTGTCTCTTTTTTTCTCAGTCGGATGAGGTCTACCTGGAGGCACAGATTCAGAACATCACTCAATCTCCTATGTGTATGGAGAAGGTCGCCCTAGAACCAACAGCAGATTACATGGTAGAAGAACTCAATTCAACTCAGACAGAGGCTACTTCAAAGTAAGTGAAAGATATTTTATTTGTAAAAATTATTTGTTATTATTATTTTATTTGGCAAATCAAGTCACATAAATACATCAATATAGCAAACATGAATTGAGATAAAATCAATAGAAAGCATATATAAATATTGCAATAGCAGGTGCATCCGGTCGAGCTGCCCAGGTATGGAAAAAGTTAACCAAATAACTGTGATCCGCAGACCTACCTCCCCACACCCGACCAGATGCACCTGATATTGATTGAAATAAAGCTTTGAAAATAAAAGAAAGATGAGGAGAAGGAAAATGGGGAAAAAACTGAGAAAGAAGATACTGAATGAATTCATTTTGAACCCTCTTGGTCTATCCTGGCACAGTTGATTATTTTTAAAGTGGTTTGAAGACCACTGAGCTATCCAACTCCCTGTCAATAGTTAGACCTTGTCGATTTGGTGAACGTTTGATTTCGGCATTGACTTCATCTTCATTATAAACGTTTTGTTATCCTTATGTGAATTCACCTTAGGATTTACCTTCTTCTATCAAATCATAACCAGACCACACATCTTCTGTCCAAGAAATGGAGACTGAAGCTGACTGTTTGTAGTTAAAGATAAAGTTGACTCCTGGTCATGCGATTGCATTGTGAAAGAATCGTGGAATCAATCAGAAAAGGTTGATCATCTAGCATATAAGTATTTATGTGTATTGCAAGGTTCTGATGGAATCATCAAAATGATAAGAAATTTGGCCCAGTCTTGGTAAAGTTACAAGCACTACACAGAAAGATGTATATAGGACTACACGAACATGTGGCATAAAAATCTGTCCCGATTTTCATGATGGTACATGCCATATTTAGAATACTAAGGCATTTGAAGAGCCATCTTTCAGGGAAGATTTTTTTATCTGATTTCTTCCACACTTGCATTATACAATGATAATGCTCACAAATTATTTTCACCTCTTTCCAGAACTCAACCTTCTCTTTAACTGTAAATTCTTTCATTTTCTCTCTGCAGGAAGCTAATCTTTGGTGACTTTACCTACTTGAATCCCATGGACACCAGGCAGTATCTCTACTGTCTCAAGGCCAAGACTCAGGCCGGAGCTGACCGCCCATCCCTCATCAAGGGTGTGTCCAGCATCGGTAAGCTGGACATCGTCTGGAAGACCACGTTGGGTGAGAAGGGACGTCTTCAGACCAGTCAACTACAGAGAATGGTATGTGGATAACCCATTTGACACTTCTATCAGTATTTCAAGTCAGTTCATACTTTCAGTTACTTCAAGTGATTTGAATTTGTTCTTTCATTGTGCTTTAATTGCTTTAAAAATACATTGTACAATCAATCATTTCTCTCAAATCAAATATATTATAATGATATTATATTCCAGAATGATCTAGAAAAGCATTTTGTTTTGTGGTGCAGGTTCTTGTTGTAAATCAATAGTGATTATGCAAAAGGAAGATTTTTTTTGTTTTCAATAGGTGAAAACAATGTTTCTTCCAGTTAATTTCATTTAGATACATGTTATGATCGATGTACAGTTGTACATATATATCCATTATTTTGTATTGCTCTACAAATGTAGACTTAATGGTGTGAAGTATTGCAGAAGTAGTTGCAGGGCATTTTTAGTTGCCTAGTTCCAACATCTTTTGCACCTAATTTGCTATCATATCATACAAACAGTGAAAAATGACATAGCCCAAGTGAACTGTACCATGTCTTATTGATGTTTTAATTCCTTCTGTATGCCAACTCAGTGGCCAACATGAAAGAATGCCATATTAGGGGTACATGGGTATTCGGATGATGATGAGGGCTTCTTGTATAGTGCCATGATTGTCCACTTCTGGTGGGCGCTCGTGGCGCTTGCTCTACAATGTTTCACAAATTCAATGTTTAATGTTCTTGGTGAATGTTTCAAATTATGATTCCTGAGATGATGTCTGTTGTTTTACAGGCACCCGGTTATGGAGACCTGAAGCTGAGCATTGCTCAGATACCAGATAGCGTACCTCTAGAAAAACCATTCCAGCTCACCTGTAGAGTCACAAGTTGCTGGTAAGATTCATGGTTACATCCCTTTTTCCAAACAGCTGGAGGTTCATTTATTGAAAGGTTAATTATTCCAAAAGTTTAAAGGTTTTTACTAAAAATGTTTTTTATTTTGAGGCTCACAATTCTGAAAAATGAAATAGGATTCTCAATTTTCTCATGCGATCTGAAGGCTCGTAATTCAGAAAGATTTGTATGTACTATGAAGGCAGGTTCATAATCCTGACATTGAATTGGGGTTTTTAATTCAGAAAATAAAACACATTTTCAGAATTATGGACCTCCATAGTAATGAACCCTACATGAACAAAACGAACAACTGAAAACTTGCTTCCTGAAATTTTAGTTGTGATACATCATGGTTGTAAACTTGGTAGGTAATGTACTTTTACAGAGTAAGGGTACCAAAAGAGGACTATTGACATCTACATGTCATATCTTTTTGCTCTTGTATAGATTTTTCTCCCCCCCCCCCCATTATTTTCTACCTTATGTAAAAGTAATAAAAGAGAAGCAAACTTTAGAGCTATTACTTTTTATCAACTTCTTTTGATACTTTTTATCAACTACTTTTGATACAAAAGTGAGTTTGCAAAAACATATACACATACATTGTGTATAGTCAAGATGATTTTGTGCTTTGTATGTATCCTGTATTTTCTTTTTTCATTACTATGATTGTAAGGAGAATTGTTGTGTTTAATTGCAAGCCACTGGCTGTTTAATGCAATTTCCCAGGCATAATTTTTATTATACAATATATCTTTGTATTTTATGAAATTGATATATTGAAATTGAAATGTTGTGGCTATGTTTCAGTGAGAGGACAATGGATCTAAAGCTCATTCTGAACAACACCACAGGTGTGGTCTGGCTAGGTATCTCTGGTAAACAGCTCGGTAAGCTGGGACCAAACACCAGTATGGACATCAAACTGCAACTCATTCCAACCATCCCAGGATTACAGGTAGGTTCATAAACTTTCTAAAACCATGTTTGTACATGCAGTCAAACCTGTCTATAGCGACCACCCAAGGAAAACACAAAAATTGGTCTTTGTAGACAGGTTCCTTTAGTGCACGTTTCATTGAGAAACCATTTTCAAGGGAAACAAAAAATGTGGTCTTTGTAGACAAGTGATCAATAAAGCAGGTTTGACAGTATCATGTTCGTATGTATGACACATGAGATAAGGGGTTATCATTAATGCATTAACGGAATAAGTGTGTTTGGAAAAAAAAACAATACAGTACAGACTGAACTGATGAGGATTATTATAATAGTTGCAATTTATATACAGCATTTTCTACTAGATACAAAGCATTTTGAGATGCCATCCGTGAGTCAGTGTTAAAAATAGGAACTACATGTACATGTAAATGTATATGAACTGAATAATCAAGTTTGAGAAAAGTAGGAAAGAGATACTTTGTACACAAAAATATGGTTTGAAAAACTGTTGCATAAAGAGATGTAATGCGCAGTGGTATAATAGTTCACCAAGAATATGCACAATTATGACTAAAATTGAGTGTTTTTGTCATATTATCCTTCTCTTTTCAGAGCATATCTGGCATGAGACTAATCGACTTGTATCTGAAGAGGACCTACGAACATGATGACATAGCACAGGTCTTCGTCTACACAGAGCAGGATGGGCCCGTTAAGAATATCTGATTAGTACTCACAACAGCGGACTGTATTTATTATGTAAAGATAGAAACCATGTATGACCCTTTTGTGAAAAATGGCAGCCATGTTGGGATTATAACTCCTTGTATCTTCATCACGCAGTCTTGTTAAAATTTGTTCAGAATCTTGGCAGATGTTGGTTAAGTACACACCGGAGTCTTCACATGCTTTCACACTGTCATCACATCACCCAGTTGAGTTCTAAATTTTGTGAAATGTATGAGATAAAAGCAATGAGTGGCTCAAGAGTCTGCTTTTACAGTTTCCAGTTTGTGCAATCATTCAAACACTCCTGTCCCCTGCTTTACTAAAAAACAGATGGTGTTTGCACCACTCATATCCTGTGACCCATGTTATTATTTGGTCCCAATGCTATATGATGGAGAAAGACCTTAGACAATTCTCAGTATAAGACAGAGTGTGAATATTCTCATTACTATGTCTTCTGTCATCCTGAGGTGCTCCAATGATTTACCTTGAGGACACCTGCCATTTGAAAGCAGTCTTTTCGATAAATTTGTATAGATTTGGAGACTCAAATTGGGTTGTTTTGATGTGTTGATGTATATAGAGGTGGTGTAGTCAAGTGGTTTCATCACTTGACTGGAAATACAAAGATTGTGGGTTTGAGCCCAAGTACGGCATGTTTGTCATTGAGCAAGGCATTTTATCTACATTGCTCCTCTTCACCCAGGTGTTAAATGGGTACCCGGTAGGATGCGACCATCAGTGTGGTTCGATTAGCATGTATGCACCCGTAAACAGGCGACTAGCTGGAATGCTCCCCAGGGAATGGAGAATGTGCACTGTAATCTGCAGGATAGTTCTTGAAACCTTGTCTGGCCTGTAAGCGCTTTAGTCAGTTAATGGTACAGCACTATATTATAAAACTGATGGTATTATTACCTAGGTAATTTGTAATTATTGTAATCTTTGAAGATACAAGTTTCATTTGGTTTGCTTTGAATTGCCTGGAGATGTTTTAAATATCTCCAACCAAAGACCTTAGAACATAAGAGGTGTCGTGATTGAGTGGATATGTCACCGGACTGTGGATCACAAGGTCCGCAATTCGAATCCAGCATTGGCAATAATGTCGTTTGGCAAGACATTAATCTACATTTGCCACACTCGACCCAGGTGATGTAAATGGGAAGGAATTAATTCTTTGAAATGCTAGAGCGCTGTAATGGCAGCCATTCTATAAAGCCAGTTAATAAATGTGGAGTGCCAGGAGTGTCAAGTCTGACAGATATAAGTGCTATACAAGAACCCTTTATTATTATTATTATTATATATTATAATGATATGCATCAACATTTCGAAAAAGTTTTAAAATACTGAAGTATACTGCCACGTATTCACTGTATTGTGTTATGAGATAGAAAAATATGAGGCATATTAGACTTCTAAATTAAAAGAAGAACAACTCGGTGGTGTATCCCGCCATATCTGAACGATGGTTTGTGCATTGGAACTTGATGAAATGTGTGTAAATTCATTGCATATACTCTTACAATATTTAGATTATAATCTATTACCCATATTGAGAAGGTATACACAATCGTTAGTACGGAACATTCTGTGGTCAGCATTGTACACTCGTGCTGCAAAACCAATAACTTTTGGAAAATGAAACTAAATAGGAATTGTTTACATCAGCCATTTCCACAGCATGAAACTTTTTGCTGGTATAATTTGCTAGTTTTATAGGTTATAATTATTTTGTATCATTGAACTGTTTTTTAACCTGTTACACTAGTTTCATTTGATTAATGATTTAAACAATCTTGCAATCATGGAATGATATGAAACAATATATATGTCATTAAAACTATATAAAAAATAATGTATGAAACATTGTTGTGTTCTGTTTTGACTGAGAAGTCAGTTTGACACGGAAAAACTACACAGGGGCTCTGGGTAAAGTAGCCCCCAAAATGCCCAAAAGAGCCCCAGAAAGTCATAAAAGAGCCCCCCCAAAATGTGCATAGAGTTCAATGCAAAACAAATTAAAGAGTGTTATTTTCATGCAAGCAAGCTTGAAAAATAGCCCTCAACATTTTTTAAATATTTTCCCCCTGGTTTGACATACAGTGGACCCTTCAAAGTGACTGATATCTCATTATAACAAGGTAATTTTGCCAATGCCATTTTTGTTTTTTGAGTACTCATTTAACCAGGATCAATATAACAACGTTCTTTTACCCCAAGGAGTGCATGGCCATAACAAGGTTTACTGTGTAACATTGTTAATGATGCTATTTGAACGAAGAAAAATGTAGGAGTTGGTCAAAAGCAGTATTTAAAGAATTGTTCCCCATAAAAGAGTTTTGAAAAGGGTTGAATGCAAAAAGAAGTTTACAATTAGTCTGGAAGGAGAAATCATTTTTCTGCAGTTAAAAAAAAAAGGAATGAAACGAAGGAATGAAAGGAAAGATTCACTGAGGAAAAGATTGAGGAATGAAAGAAATGAAGAGAGGAAAGACAGAAAGAAATATAATTTATTGAAAGATGTAGAGTAATTAGTGAAAAGAATGAATGAAAGGAAGAAAGAAAAAAGAGGGATAGAATGAATAAATAGAGAGAGGAAAGGCAAAAGGGACTCTAGGTGAGAATTCAAGACAAAATCAAAGGAAAGAAAGTAACGAAAGAATAGAAGGATCGGGAAAGAATTAAGAACATCATTCACTTTCTCTCTCGTGACCACGCCCCCTTTTCACCACATTCCACAAAACTCCAATGAAGTCTCATTCGCCCAGGTCCTGCTGCTACCCCTTTCCGATCTAGGTACCCTTACCGCTCGGGGTGACTCACGCCTCCACGTCATACACACATACGGTGCATATATTGCGTAACAATTATCGTGCACCTCATTTCAAAGTTGGTTGCTGAGCTGAGCACTAGAGCTGAATGCCGACACTGACAGTTACATTTTTTTTATTAAAATGTCTCGACGTGGTGGAAGACAGCCCTTCAACCCTAAAGCTGGGTTCCAGAGAGCCGGCAACAATAATAAGGAAGATGACGGGAAAGGAGTTTCAGTTGTCATCCTCAAACAAGCACGTTCAAGTGGACAATTGAATTTATCAAACCGTTCACTCACAACTGGTAAAGTCACAGTTTTTCTCACTGTAGTCCCGGGTGTTGAAATACATGTTTGATTTAATTTGTGTTTACTTTATCAAATCTTGATCTCGTTCGCTCTCTAGACTATTCGGTTTTGGCATAAATAGTCTATGTTAAATGAGAGTAATTTGTGATGAATATGTAGTATTGATATTAAGCTTGGAATTATGTTGAACTCGAAGTAGATCTAGATCTAGATCTAGGTTGATTTAGTGTAAACTGTTCACAGTTCAGTGACAGTTTAATTGAGTGTTTTAATTGTGTCTCAACTCTCATGATTATGATTGAAAATAAAATTTTGAATTAGAATATCAATAAACAAATGATGCATGCGCTTGAGTTCATTATACGATCTATCCGCACTCAAGTTGAGGCGGTGTGTATCTATTGATAAATATACACAGCATCAACGAGGGCGGATAGATCGTATAATAAACGAATGAAAACATGCATCATGTGTTTTAGATCTATATGACGAAACTCCTAGATCCTTGTTATTTGATGTAAAAAGAATTCATTCAGGATTGTTTTGTGACAGTTTATGGCTGACAAATAAATCTCAAGTTTAATAAGGCTTAATTTAGTGCGCACACATAGCTGTAGATATATAGTAAGCGCACTTAACTCTATACCCATTTACGCATAGTGCTGCGCAAGAATAGGCCCATGCACACGCACTATTAGGCGCTCTAACCTCTATGCGGACTACTGCGCACTGAAAACGAGTTCAATAGTACTGGAAAATATTGCACTCCTTTTCTTGCAGAGAACAAGAAACATACATCTCTGCTCCATGCTTGCCTGTGTGGAACTGCCTGAGATGCTTGCAACCTCAGCTCAGATCAGGGGTTTATTTTGCATATCTAGAACTATATTTATGTGTACATTAATATCACAACTGTAAATAATAAATATTCAAATAACAGAGCTTGTAAATGAAAGGAGGTACAATAGATTTCTGTGCATATAAATGAACTGCTATGAATACTGAATAATGGATTAACCAATCACACTGGAAAGAACAATCTCCCAAACCATGGGATGAACATGAAAGAAGGAACAAAAGACACTAAAGTTGGGAGAGTGAACATAGCATGAGAGAAGGTAAGGTTATGAAACGTGACGGAATGGGATGGAAAGAATAAAATGGGCTTTGATGATAGAGGGATACAAATAAATAGAATACAGATGGGAAGATAAAATGCTTACATTCATGCTAAAGTACAATGTTCTGTTCGAAATATAGCTCTACTTGATGAGGTAATCCCTGAAGCAGCTTTTCCAAGCTATACTGGGATGGGATGTGTTGTGACAGCAGGTGAAGGTGCAGACAACAAAAGGGTGTACAATTTCTTTATACAGTATTTGACGTGCAAGTAAAAAATCATGCTGCTGTATGGTTTACAGCATTCTGGAACCTACATGAGGTTCCAACCCTCTGATGATAGGGAGGGCGGTCATCTGGAAAGCAGCAACTGTTGGGGCAGTAATTGCAGTGGCTGGTAGTTAAGTCCAGATATCTACAATAGAATACCCCAAATCGTTTGAAGTTCATCCTTTTCCCCCTTTTTTTTCTTCTTCTTCTTTTTCTTCAAATTTCATACAGTTCCTCAGTCAGTATGGAATATCAACACTGATGTCCCGCCTGAATCTAAGAATGTATCACTGGACAACCAGGATGAAAGATGGTGGGATCAGAATGAATTGGTCAAGCTTATTCTGGCTTCAAACAAACTAGAACAACTCTCAAATGATATCCAACTACTGCCTGCCCTTACTGTGCTTGATGTAAGCTGCCTTTTCAAAGATGGTTTCATTCTCAATATATATTCCATTCTGAAGTACTATGCAAACATTGAACAAACAATGCTCCATTGCTGACCTAGGGATGGCATCAATTTTTTTATTTTTTATTATTTTTAAAAAAAATCGTTTTCATAAAGAATAGGCACTACATCTATACAAATTCTATTGATGTTACTATTTCTATAGTTGAAATCTAAAGTGACAGTATAGTATTTTGCAACAATAAAGCAACTTGAAACCACATTTTAAGAAGTTTGTAACTTTATACTAAAATTCAAATTTCAAAAGATGTTTGAAATTAATAATTTTAGATAAATTTAAATATGGTTCTATATCGACTATGTTTACATTTTATAGGTCCATGACAATAAGTTAAATTCCCTGCCAACTGCGATTGGAGAACTTCGTAATTTGCAACGATTGAATATCAGGTAAGAATATGGTAAACATTAATTATTAATTAATAATAAATCTTTATTATAATGTTTTTTTTTGTTTTTTTTTTTTTTTGGGGGGGGGGGGAGGGGGTGCTACAGCTAGTAATTTAAACTGTTTAAAATCTAGAAGAAATGCGCACCCTATGTCAACCAGTCTATTAATAATCGTCCATACACCATGTATGTACATGTACTTGCATTTTAATTTAAGTCATTTAATGTATTCTTCTTTTCCTGACAAATCAATGTATTCTGTCATTGTACATGCATTGTGGATCTTTCATTAGATCATCTTTACTATGCTCTTTACTGCTGTACTTATCATTGGATAAATATCTTGGCAGTTGATCATGATGCATCATCAGACCACAGGAAGTTATGGCTTGATTGGTTAATCATGTCACAAACCAGTGAAAAACCACAGGAAGTTATAGCTTGATTGGTTAATCATGTCACAATCCACAGATCCTGGAATATCTTCATAATAGGTGTTCCACTATTAATAATAAAAATACATCCAACCACATTGAAGTGAAATAGAATATTAATGTAATCATTGGAATGGAACTACATGTACATGTATTCAATATTTCAATTAATTGCTTTTTGTTGAGTTTACATTTCTATGACACTGACAGATATAATGTTTTAGTAGGTCAGGGTTTACTATAGAAAGAAAAAAATTAACAAAACAACACAACAAATAAATGATAAAACAAACAGAACTTTCACAAACATTTACAATGGATTCAGATTAGTCACACCTCTTAAATAGGATGGGCATAGATGTTACCTGAAAAATGTGACCTGTGAGAATGCTCACAAGATGTGATACTATTGATTTGTTTCCCGCTCTTTTCCTCTAGTCATAACTGCTTAACAGAGCTTCCATCCGAGTTATCCCAACTCCACGATCTTCTCTTCCTCCACGTCCAGCACAATAAGATCAGTGTCCTGCAAGATGGCCTTGGTGAACTCAACCATCTGGAGAATTTAGTAAGTATCAGTGAAATGCCCAGTATTTGACCTTAAAGGTAAAGACGAGTTCTGGTCATGCAATTGCATTGTGAAAGAAACGTTGTGGAATCGATCAGAAAAGGTTGATCATCTAGCATATAAGTATTGGTGTGTACTGCAAGGTTCTGGAATCATCAAAGTGATAAGAAATTTGGCCCAGTCTTGGTAAAGTTACAAGCACTGTACACAGAAAGAATGTATATGGGACTACGCGACACGTGCGTGATATCTATCCCGTCCAGATAGATATAATAATTTACCAAATATATCAATTAGTAGGCGGTCTCCCAGCATAATTTGTATCACATATTTAGTCAAAACATATTCTTTCATAAGAGCTTCCATTTCATTTTTTGAGAGGGGGGGCGTTTCCAAAACTGGTCTTTACTTTTAAACTACCGGTAAAACATTCCTGTGTAAAAATAATAGAGTTTCAGCATTTTTTTTGTTTTTGCACTGTATTGGCAACTTCATAGACTAGAGGGCTGTTTCTTATTCCAGTTGTTTGAGAATCTTTTCTTTTGTTCATAACATTCCATATACCTCTTAACTCCCTATAAAGCATCATCACGAGTTATATACTTTAGTAATTTTAGTTAAATGGCAAGAGGAGGAGGAGGTCGTGTTTTTTAAAATTGCAAACTAGAGGTTTTACTGTGAATGAGTATGCCTAGCTGTAGCATCTATTTAATGTCACTAAATTTGATATGACTGTTCTTTAACCTTACTCTGAATTCAGGATGTATCGAACAACCAGTTGAGTGAGTTGCCAGAATCCATTGGGAGTCTGCGTAAATTGAGGAGTCTTAACGCATCAGAGAATCAACTAGAATTTATTCCGACAACCATCGGTAACCTCAAAGGTAAGGAGATAGTAATTGAAAGCCAACTTTAGATGGCCCAATATCCACATTTCCTTATAGAGTATTCCTTTACCTTTCTCTTCAATTTAGTACTTTTGTCACAGAACACTTCAGTGCTCGACATAGATTAGTATAACTTTGTATTCAACAGTGTAAACTAACTGTGTTGCAATCATAGGAAAACTTGGAATCTGTTGATAACAGTTAATTCTGGGAACTTATCAATGTTTTCAGAACATGGGTCACATCTGAACACTTTATGTTTTAAAGGCTCAGCTGCCTTGACAAACCATATTTTTCATGCTGAAGTATTTCACTGTAACATATTTCTTAAACATTTGCAAACATTGAGTATTTACAAGCTGTACTCTAATCATTATATCGGCCTACTCATACTTTAAGATCAAGCTCAAAATCATTATTCATTGTCCCTCCCACCTTAACAAAAACATACGGTGAACGTTCTTTTACACTTTTCCTCAGTTTTATGGAATTCACTTCCAGATTCCATGAGAAATCACAATAATTTAAACAAGTTTAAGGTTTCTCTTAAAACGTATTTATTCAATGTTAAAAGTGTACACCCATGAACTCAGCATCCAACACTACATGTACTTCTTTGCTAAGTGGATTTTCTAATTTGTATGACTTTTTCTTGTAATTCTTTCCCTTCTATTTGAAGCGCATAGGGACATGCTATCCTGTAATGTGTTATGCGCTATAAAAGAACTGAGTATTATTATTATTATCATTAAGCAACAACTGTACCAATACTTAGTATTGTTATTGCTTTCAGCATCTCAGGGCAGCTAAGCAAAAGCCAGTGTAATAATACTATGCGCCTTTAACTTCCCCCAAGGGATGGATAGCATACGAGTGAAATATAAATGTAGCATTATTTTGACTGCTATTATTATTATTCAATGTTTAGTGCATAACAAATAGAGTCAACATGAAACTATTGACCCATTTCAATAACATGATCGCACCAGTTCATTGAAACTGTTGCTTCACATCACTATCACTGGCGGTCTCCTGCGTTCTGAATTTATCTCTTTAGTTCAATGAATAATATAGACAAATATCTGTTAGACTGTATGCTTGTATACTTGTATGCTTTGTATATGGTTATTGTATAATATTATCAGACATGATTTGCTATGTATGTAATACTTATGTAAAAGTGTATAACCTTGTATTTCTTATTTGAATGCAGAAGTAAAATCGATCAAACAAACAAACAAACTATGGTTTTCATTTCAGGAGTTCGGATGCTAGAACTGAGTAGCAACAGACTGCCTTCACTACCCCTTGAGATGGGTTTCATGTCAGGACTAGAACAGATCCATATCAAGTTCAACAGAATTACATCACTGCCTCCTTTCACTAAATGCAAAGATTTAAAGGTATTCCACTCCGCAATTCAGAGAGCTGTTAGGGATGTTCAGCAGTAATGTTTGTGTGCACCTTAGCTGCCAGCTGATTCTGTATTTACTATGCACAATTACAGTAATTTCAGGCATTGTGCATGGTGGATACATGACCAACTGGCCCAGCGCAGCTAAGGTGCACACAGACATTACTGCAGAATGTCCTTTAAATGATAAATTTAACACACCTGGGGGGTGTTTCACAAAGATCCTAAGTCAAACTTAACTCTAAGTTGGACTTAAAAATTATGGAGAGCCATTTGTAGCCTTAAAATAAAATATATTCAAAAACAAATATTCAAGTATTTCAAACTTTTTATAAATTCCTCATCAAGGACATGAAATCTCCTTGATAATAGAAAATATGAATGATTTGAATCGAAATGTTATGCCTATTTATATAACTTTTACTAAATATTTGTATAGATGCTAGCGGCTTTCCATAATTTTTAAGTCCAACTTAGAGATAAGTTCAATTTAGGATCTTTGTGAAAAAGTACACCCCCAGGAGCCCGTAAAATAAAAATGACTTTAAGTTGATAATTGTATCTCCCTTCTTGCTCCTATTGATTGTGGTTTTTACAATAAAATGTATCTTTTGTTGACATAGAAGTGGCTGCAAGTTTTCAATTCAATTCAATTCAATTCAATTTTGGTTTTATTTCTAATATACCAAATAAAAAGTCCAAAGATTAACAATAATTGGTTCACAATGTATCATATAAAAATGCATTAAAAACAGTAGAATTAAAAATTCAGTAATAAGTTACATTGCTCACATCATATAAAAATGCATTAAAAACAGTTGATTTAAAAATTCAGAAATAACTTAAAGTACAAAAAAAAAAAAATAATAATATTTATAAATTATAAAATGGTGATAATCGGTTTGACAGTGAATTGAGAAGAAAGAAGAAAGAAAGAGTGAAAAGTGGAAGAGAGGGAGATGGAGAAAAAAGAAAAGAGAGTTCAATTTATGACCAAAAAAAGTAAGCAAATGAACAAGAATTGAGTTGATTCAACTTAATGAAGCATTGTAAAGATTTGATTAATTAGAGGAGACTATTAATTTTTCACACATGATTAATTGTAAGTTTATGTTACAGGCCCCTAAATCTTTCTAGAATTTTGTTGAACGGTCCAGATTTGCAAGTTTCTTGTAGCAAAGTAATGACATTTAAACATTGAGAAATGTCGCAATCGTCATGAATTTCATGTTGCAAATTTTCTGATATTTTTTGTATTTGTTAGTATGAAAAGGACCTACAGTACATGAAAAAATATAAGGTACATTTGTACTTCTAAACTTGATGATACAACATTGATATATATCATTGAGGATTTAAAAATAAGACCAGGCAAAATTCATGTCAGAAAAACATTCTTTTGGCTGGATTGTTGATGAATGGTAAGGAATAATCGTAATCAATAAATGTAATGAGAATAAATGCTTTCACTCTTCTCCTTTATTTCTATCAGGAACTCCATGCAGGAAATAACAATATCACCGAGCTGAGTGTTGAGTTGCTCCAGTCTCTATCCTCTCTCAATGTACTAGATCTGAGAGATAACAAGATAAGCATCATCCCTGAAGAGATGATACAGGTTACCACTCTCACCAGATTCAATATTGCCAACAATAATGTTTCAAGGTAGTCATTCTTATCTCTTCTTTCAAACATCAGTCTTGTATTATATGTCACATTTTGTTGTATTTGATTTGACTTTGTCAAATTTTTAATGTTGAACTAGTTTCATAGATTTACAATAGATGCTACCACTTTTAATATCAGAAGTGATTTTTGTTCATTTGCTGATGCCTTTTATAAGCCTACCGCACACTACATAATCCACTATGATCCAATTTTTGAAAATTTGCAATAGCATTCAAATATTTATTGATGACAGAGAATCTGAATTGTTATGATAAAGAAAATCATAACTTCAAGGTATTTGATGCTTCCTTGGGAGAGGAAAATCTAAGTCGGCTCGGGATTGTAGTGATGTCAGACCAGTAGTGTGATTGTCCACGATTTGAAGCCGATTCAGCTTTTATTCTGACTGGGAGAGTTCCATGCACCAATATCCCGGTTGTTAGAAGTCTTATCATTATTTAGAGGCTAAATCAGGAAGATATGTTTAGATTTCCTATCTCATACAATTACCATTTCTTCTTTAGAGTTTTGGAGCTTTAGAGTTTTGTTGGTAAAAATTCAAGTGGTTCAATAATAGGTTGTTTATGTACAAGTTGATAACTAAAGTAAGAATGTCATAATTGTTTGTCGACCATTCTTTCCCTACTACATGTATGATCAAATCTGAACCTAGAGATGTGTGTGTCTCTAGCATGTCAGAAACATCAATGTTTGTGTTCTTTTTTAATCGGGCCTGATAAAAACCTGATTGAAATTGATTTCCCTCTTTTTTTTTCTTCTTTTTTTTCTCTATTCTTCCCTATTTTCCCCTATTATTTCCCAATTTTTCTTACTCAAAAGGGTGGGAATGTTGTTACATTAGATGCCATTCCCCCCCCCCCCCCCCCCCCGAATCCTCTTCTTTTCTTTTTTTTACTCAAAGGGGTGTGGTTGAGGGAAACCCCCCCCCCCTTTTTTTTTTAGTGCTCACTATCACCCCTGTTTAATGAGTGATATAAAAATTATCCCATGCCAAACATATTTTGCTTGATATGAATCACACAGTTCCTCTAGGAATCACACATGACCAATCTAAATTGTATTTTTGATATATATTTAATCTTTCAGCCTGCCCTACAAGCTTGGTAATCTAAGATCACTAAAGGCTATGGTTGTTGATGGGAATCCCATGCGTGGTATCAGGAGAGACATCGTCAATGTAAGTCACAATCACAGTCTTTCTTTGATTTTGTAGAACATTAATTGAGTCTTTCTTGTAATTCATTTATTAGCATTAATAATGCCTATTTATGCAAGTTTGTTAAAAAATATCATAATAAATGTGTTTTATTATTTAAATTTGGATATTGGATACATTACTGGCATACAGAACCATTTTATCTTTTTGAAACCGCTTTTACTTTTTGAGGAGGAGGGGGAGGGGGAGGGGGGGAGGGAGGGGGAGGGGGGAGGGGGAGGGGGAGGGGGAGGGAGGGAGGAGGGAGGGAGGGAGGGAGGGAGAGAGGGAGGGAGGGAGGGAGGGAGGGAGGGGGAGGGGGAGGAGGAGGAGCTTTCCTAGTGCACTATTGGTAAATGGTTGCTAGTAACTTAATACCTACTTTCATATTACAGAGAGGTACTGTGGAGCTGATGAAGTACTTGAGGAGTCGTATCGAGGAGACTCCAGAGGATACTCCTGATAGTTCCTCCGCTTCTGATCCATCCAGTGTCATAGGCAGGACTGATGCAGTGGCTGGCAAGACATTGGACTACAGGTGAGGTGATAGTATTAGACTGTGAGACACTGATGTGTTTATATAGACAGTACAGTCAAACCTATCTATAGCGACCGCCCAAGGGAAACACAAAAAGTGGTCTTTGAAGACGGGTTCCTTTAGTACATGTTTCAATGAGAAACCATTTTCAAGGGGGAAAAATGTGGTCTTTTCAGACAGGTCGTCACTAAAGCAGGTTTGACTGTATTAGCATTTTGTATCAGTTGCAAATCTTCAGCTTTATCATCTTGAATGATTGTTTCAATCGAAAGTACATGTGTAACCCATAAATAGTCGATCAAAACATATGAATAATAATCTATGTATCTTAGATCATGAGCAAATTGTATTTAATACAGTACCTAACTTTAAACCTGTTAACTTTCAGTGTCTTTTCATGTTCACTAGTGAGAGTGGTTATCATTTTTTTTAATCTGATTGCGTTTGTTCTGTTATTCTTAGCAATAAGAAGTCAGGAACTATACCAGTCTCTCTGTGGGAACCTGCCAAGGAAAGTGGAGTCACGGCTGTCAACTTCAGCAAAAACATGCTGACAGAAGTCCCAGCAAAGTGAGTAATATAATAAGGACATTGTAGTATGACCTGATAATTATTGGTTAAATAAGTTTATTTATTATTCCTAAAAAAAAAAGAACATCCAGTTAACAACTAAATTATACATACCCCTTGTAAATCCTATGTTTTTTGTGTTTTTTGTTGAATTAGGGCCTTTATGGAATACTTTTAGATGGAAGCTTTGATATTTTACATTCACAAGAAACATAAATTGGGACAAATCATATTTTCACATACTTAAAAGAATTACAAAACTTGGTAAGGGTATGAATAATTTAGTTCTTAATTTTATGTTGCATTTTAAAGACAGCCTTGACCAATGGTAATGTACATTTACATTGTGTATTATCTTTTTTTAAATGCTATTTTCCACATAATTTTGACACTTCCAATTTACCAGCAAGGGAGAGAAGGAACCTTTGCAGAACAAGTACTTCTACCACAATGTGATTTTTATTTCCCAGTACAAAATGTTTCATTTATACACTGTATGAAGCTGACCTAATTTGTAGTTTATATTTGTACTGTTTTAGTTTGATCTCCCTTCATAAGACTGATATGAAGTATAAATAAACATTGTTACATACAAGATTCAAGATTCAAGATTCAAGGTTTTATTGTCCATATAAAATACAGAAATTTGTTTTCCATTGGTGTAACATGTAATATGTAAAACATAAGACAAAAAACATGGGTGTCGTGTGCTGAAAGCCAGAAGGGCATCAAGACTCTATAGAAAAAGTCTTTGAGCAGGTACGGTCCTCCGGCTTACAGCACAAAACATAACAAGAAGGTTACAATGTATATATACATAGCAAGAATTTTAAATACAATTCTGAATCACATCATGAATAAATTCAGGTATTTAGGTATGGCCTAATAAACAAACCTTTTTTCCCCTTTCAGTTTGATCTTACTTCATAAGACTGCGGTGGATGTGAATCTGAGTGTTAACAAGATACCAACCCTTCCTACTGAGATGCAGATGATGGTTAATATCACAAGACTTGATCTAGGGTAAGGTCTTTGTGGCTTTCACTGATCATGGGGGTGTTTCACAAAGACTAAGACCGACTTTAAGTTGGACTTAACTGTGGCAGGCCATTTATGCCACTAGTTGCTCTCACCATAGGTCTCTCAATTTCCTTCAATAATGCCGAAGTATCAAAAAATGTAAATTCTGTAGATTTGTGACCATGATTTGTACGTCCCTTGAGAGACCAATGCCAGTAAATGGTGAGAGAAAACAGTGGCATGAACGGCCTGCCATAGTTAGTCCAACTTAAAGATGATCTTAGTATTTGTGAAACACTCCCCAGTCTTTTTCTTGTTGCCCTTCTCCTACTCTGCATGCTTCCCGAAGTCTTCATTTATACTAACAGTTAACAACTGAATTATTCATATCCCTTGTAAATTGTTTTCTTCTTCTTTATAACTCAAGAATGAAAGGTGCACAGGTTGAATTAGGGCCTTTGTCAAATACTTCTAGATGAAAGCTTTCATATGTCACTTTCTCAAGAAACAATAATCGGGACAAATCATTGTTCACATCCCTAAAAAATTACAAAATTGTTAAGGGTTGGATAATTTAGTTATTAACTGTATATGAAATATATTTTTCTTTTGTGTTTGACCCTTGACCTTTATCTCTCTCTCTCTCTCTCTTTTCTGTGTCTTCTCTCTTCTCTTCCCAGTCTGTGCACTGTCCTCTGTTCATGGTCTTCTTTTTTTGCATCCATCTTTGCCATGTCTGTATTTATGTACCTCTCCCTACTCCCTTTTAATACTTTATGAAAGTCATTTAGTTGAAAACTACGTAGTTTATATATATATATATGTTCACATTCAGGTTTTATTCTTAAGTTCTGATTCATCTTCATAGAAATTTTCTTTTTAATATAAAAAATAAACGTTATCAAACATGATAATGTTGCAAGTGAAAGATTGAATATTATTTGTTCGCTTTCCATTGTTCATTTTATGAAGTGTTTACTTTCACTGGTTACAAAACACATTGTTTTCTTTCCTAATGAGAAATTCATGTTAAAAAAAAAAAAAATCTTTTGTTTATTGTGTTTATGTTTGTATCTCACAGGAGCAATGGACTTAGCAGCATTCCATCTGAATTTGAGACAATGTCTATGATGCGTGAACTCGTCATCTCTTACAACCGCTTCACCAAAGTCCCTGATGTCGTCTTTACTTGGACCAACCTCGAGACCCTCTTAGCTAACGGCAACCAGATAGGGGACATCGACTTGACTGGTTTCAAACGCCTCACCAAGATATCTTCATTGGATCTCCAGAATAATGACATTGGAGAGGTTCCTCCAGAGCTGGGAACATTTACCAGTCTCAGGTGAGCACCTATACATGTATAATGCAATGATACGACCAGGTAGGCAACTGGATATGACTGGTATAAAAACACTTCTCTTGGTCATCAGCCTTGCATGTACAGAACAGTGTCATTAGAGTTTATTTTACTCCCAAGCGTTAAAGGGTTACTTTCCCCAGGGAAATCAATGTATACAGTGAACCCAGATAGTAAGGGGAGGGGTCGGGGTCATGATTTGTATCAAATGCGTCTGAGTTATCCACCCTCATCCACCCTTGCTACCTTTATGTGTTTGAATACAAGCTAAGCCTTTTGAAAATTGCCAAATTAAACCACTTAAAAGGTCTTGCCAATACCTCTAGCACTAAATTTGATGAAGAGGCATGAAATAACTCACCAGATTTACAATAGTTGCTCTTTCTTATACCAATACTCATACCTCTAGCACTAAATTTGATGAAGAGGCATGAAATAACTCGCCAGATTTACAATAGTTGCTCTTTTTTATACCGATACTCATTTCCAGTCCTTTATTTTCTGTCTTGCTTTTCTTTCTTCCGATCAGGTCTCTTCTGCTTGCTGGTAACCGATTTAGGAACCCACGTCCTGCCATCCTCAACAAGGGAACCGTCGCACTCTTGGCCTACCTCAGAGACAGGATTCCAACGTAACAAGCCCTAGCTCGCCCCGTCAGGAATAATCTTTTGTAATGCATGTAAAGACCGTTTATCACCTCTTCATCTCATTGATCGTTCTCTCTTCTGTTGTCTCTTAATTTCCCTATACATCTTACATTTTTACAGTTTCCTTCCTTTTCCTGTCATATTTTCCTTATATTATTATTGTCAAATACCCTGCAGTATTGAGAAACATCCCATTTCGATTCTTGACAAACTCCTCTTGCCTATCATATTTAGACTTTCTTACTCTTCTACTTTTCAATGCTAGGCACAAAAAGTTCATGTATATGTTACACCTAGTTCAAAAGAAAACCCTTACACGGCCATATGCAATTTCAAATGCCCACCATTTGACAGTTCATCAAATGTGTTTTGGGCACAAAAAAGCTTTACTTTCTTTTGCAAAATTAAAGTGGCTTTAAAAATAGTAAAATCATGGTATCTTGGAGCGAAATTTTATCAATGTAAACGATACAAAAGTGCTACTTCTTTGATTGAAAAATTATCTCGTGAAATGTTATTGTTGATACATGTTTAAAACTTTGGTGCCACAATACGGGTTGAAGACTGCATTAAAAAAAAAGGTCTTTCTGCTGCATGACCCTGCTGAGTGCCATATACTGTATGTTAGCTAGCTCTGCTGTAGGTTAGTAATACATGTACTAGGCAGCATCTGTATTCTACTAATCGAGCTAAACCCCGAGTATTGACAAAGGAATTCTTAGACCTCCAATTTCTTTGTGAAACTCAGGCCAGCATTGAGTTTAAAATTGAGTAGAATACGGGTCTTGTATCTCTTGGGAGAGGTAATATCCAATCATTATCATTATATACTATTATATTATAGTTGACGGAGCTTGTGTATAGGTATGTAAATTGGTATTTTTGTTACAAGATGATTGAAACAGATTTCAATTAATAGATATAGATCCCCTTAATGTACAACATTTTTGTATCAAATATTTGAAATGCTTGTCTTAGTAGACACAGAATTTAATACCCATTTACGGTATACACAGAGTTTGGCCAACTTGGTGTCAGTTCTGTTCTTTAATACCCAAGAAAGCTCTACTTGCCATATCGTGCCCAACTCGAACCGAGTTGGCCAAACTCTCCCAATCAATATCTTGTTAATTTATGTACCAATTCTTCTAATGAAGTTTGAAAAATGACTGGGAGAATGTAGTGTATGTACATCTAATTTGATATTTCTTTGTGAAGAGTGATGAAAATTCACTATTTTTGTCACACATTTATGTTGTTCAGCATACAAAATTGAAAGTTGCATTGTGACATTTCTTTCTGTTTTTTCAGTTCATTACGTATTAAAAGAACATTAATTTTCTCAATTGTTCAGCACTTTAGTGTGACATTCCACATCAAAGCAAACTAAGCTAAGTACTATGAATAATGACTCTTCAGTTCAAGTGAATTCCTTTACTTTTTTTTTTACCGCTTAAATTGTACTTGTTTTATTATGTTTCCAGTCATTTCCATACAAAGACAGTGTAAATAATACATATTTTTCCTGTAAACAAAATATTTAAATAATTCCAGCTAGGCTCTAAATACCCTAAATACCCGATAGAAAGACATCAATCCACTTTTGCCACCCTGTACCCAGGTGAAGATAGATACCCAGAATACTGAAACACTACATGTTTATAAATACTGGCTGCTTGAATACTAGAGAGCCCAGAGTCACAGCATGACAGACAGGAGCATGACTCAAGATGCACCATATTATCATTATCAATGATTATCTTTTCAACTTAATAATGTCATGAATGTGATGACGTAATTGCATGCTAGTGTTGTAAAAACGATAGTAACTATAATTATGCAAAGATGTAGATGACAATATCTGAACACTAGAAATGCATTTAAACAAACTATGTGTGTAATGTATTATAAGAATGATATTTATATGATTCATGATTTGCAGTACTTCTCAAATTGCTGTATTTTTTTTTAATTAACAGTTTCTATTAACTATGCTTGGCATGCAGTACATTTTTCTTTGCAAGTACTTACAAATGCTTGTGTGTGAAATGAATAAATTTCTTCTATCTAGTATGCAAACAATACTGTTTCCTTTTTTTATTTAATAAAATTCATTTTACATGCCACATTTCTTTTGAAAAGAGAAAATGTACATTTCAAACTACATCATTCATCTATTCTTGATACACAGTCAAACCTGCTTTAGTGACCACCTGTATAGAAAGACCACTCTTTTGTTTCCCTTGATAATGGTTTCTCATTGAAACATGTACTATAAAGACCACTTTTCTCGTCTCTGGGCCCTTGTAGACAGGTTTCACTCTATTTTGGTCAATAATGGTAGATTTTTCAACAATGGCCGTAACAACAAAACAAATCTTAGTATTTTTTAAATAATAAACTCGTTTTATAACTGAAGAGCACTATTCTGGGATGTTCCTTCCACACATGGAAATGTGTACACTATGTAATGGAATCCTTGGAAAATGATCTCTAATACATATCTTTTTCCAGATTGAAATATCAAATAAAGGTACTTTGGTGATCATCGATGTTCATGACACTGGAGTGTTTTTTAATTTGGATACTGTATCAAAATGTAATGCTGCTATGGAGCAGATCTTTGACCCCCCTTGTAACCTGCAATATGTGTTTTCTTGATAATGCACAAGTGTCCTTCAAAATGGTAAAAAAAGGGGGGTTCCAATCCCTTGATTATATATCACAGTGATTGTTGTCTGTCGTGAACCAAAAGGCCTTTGATTGATTTTAAGAAAAAGGAATAACAATTATACAGAACCAGAATTAAGTGCACTTTTAAAAATATGATATCAAGCACTTCTGGGTTCATAAGAAATGAAATCATAGAGAGGAACAAGATGCATTATGTAACATAAAAAATAACTTTACTCTCAAATTTAAGCTGGCAAACCTGCTATAGTAACCACCTGTCTACAAAGACCAAATTTTTTGTTTCCCTTGAAAATGGTTTCTCCTTGAAACATGTACTAAAGGAACCTGTCTACAAAGGCCATTTAGTGTGTTTCCCTTAGGCGGTCACTGTAGACAGGTTTGACTGTACATGTATATCATAACATTAAGTCGTCTATATAATGACTTTGTTTTCAGCAGTTAAATACCGGTATTTGTCTGCTTAAAGGGATCGTTTAACAATGTTAAATCTGAGATGCACGACCCTACGTGTTGCAGTATCCGTGATATGGTGTTTTATTGAAGCCCTAAAAAGATCGCGCTTCAAAATGATCAAGAAGTGCCTCAGAAAAGTAGAAACCTTTGAGTGACTGGTTTTACCATACTCGTTTTCCCTAATAGACTGTAGTGTAATGAAAACCGTTTGGCAAACGCAAAATTTGATTTTGATTTTTAATCATAAATATCTTGATAATCAGACAGGCATTCGGCTTGTTAAAGTCATGGGTTTCCTGACTGACCTTAAGGTTTATAATTATCAATGCGGCATGAGCTAAATCAAGGAATTTTTAAAAGGATCTAAGACAAAGTTACCGGATCCCTTGAAAGCCAGAGACGCATCGGTTCTACTAGAGTAGTTGAACCTCTCTGGCTCTCAATAGACAAACTGTACTGTAATGATATGCCACCACTGCCACCAGAGATGGAAAGCATGTGAGATAGGAATAGACAAAGAAGAGGAAGTTGAGAAATCGAGGGGTCAGTGACACAAAGACGTAACTCCATTTTGGCCAATTTGAGAAAAAGTGGTTTATGTGTCACTGAGCACTTGGGCCTTAGGGAATTAAGTCTATGTTTCACTAACCATTGACTTTAAATGGGGTGTTGAGTGGAGTTGAGCCTATGTGTTTCCTGGAAAGCCCACATTTTTCTGAACATTTGATATCAAATACTCATTTTGGCAAAATAAGGAGTCGCGTCTTTGTGTCACTGAAACCTCAATACCCAGGATTATATTCAAATTATGAGTGATGTATAACCAATCTTATCTCATCTCATTACATACTATTTATTAAGTAGTCTGCATGAAAACAGCATTGCCACTTCTCTTTTCAGGAATATAAACATAAAAACACATTGTTTTATTTCTATTGACATTTTATTGGAATAAAACTTTCTTTAAACTCATAATTTGAAATAAAGTAAAAATTTAGATTAATATGATACACAGTACAAGAACATGAAGATTACGCTGGCTTGACGATCCAAGGACGTTGACTGAACCTGTAGAATACTGAGCCAGTCATTGCTTGTGTCAATAATACAAAATGTATGTGGTATCAATTTCAATTATCAATCAAATAAATTTATATCTTGTTTGTGCTATGTATTTATTTGGGATCGTTTTCATCAAGCCAATTTTGGCTTTCATGATTCCCCACTTCCTTTTATCTTACGTTGATAATGAACAAACATGTATATACTTTTGATGTTTTTAAAAGAGAGTGAAATAAATGAAATGAACTGTATATATACACTTCAAATTAGTTAATTGGAAAGTTTACTCCTACATTGGTTGACAAGATTTAAAACAAATTGGGAAAATCTATTGAAAAATCACATACCAATTTAAAATGGAACTGTCATCAACACTCAGATTCCCCTCTTTTTAGTGAATCAAAAGCTAGGCTTTTATGTCTACACTTACCGGTAAACTTCTCAAATGGGGTTTAATACTTATTTAGGATTATATAACATCTTATTTCTGTGGATGAAATTGGACAATGTCCAACACAGTGCACACACGCAAACATTGGTTGACCTTCTATATCAATGCTATGATCTATGCAAAAACATAGAGTCCTTTACCTGATACTTGTCCGACATAGCAACACATGTAATGCAATGCCATGGAATGGACGACTTGCTTGACAATATTAGCATAATATATTGTTTATTCAGAGCCAGAGTAGTGTTACCTTGTATCATTTTACATAGTACACTTTTGGCTCCAAACAGACAATTTAATAATTTTCATTTGCTCTTTAGCCACACAGAAGATCCATTGTGATGTACTGTACATGTAGATAATACCCAGATAATCGCAGTTAGATCCATGAAGGTGAACCGATAACATCTCTGCGTGTTGCCATTTCAAAATCAATACAAGGTCCCTCTGCCAACAGAACCTTTAGATCATACTCTCACAAAGTTCCTTCAGAGTTCCGGAAATTCCAGTTCTTTTCAAATGTTGGTCTATGCCAGGCCTGGTCTATGCGCTAGGACTCTGCTGCAGGGTTACTCTGCTGGTTGTTCTCCCCGATGTGTGGTGGGTGGTCTAGGACCTTGTCGATTAGACCAAACTGTAATGCCTCCTGTGGACTCATGAAATGATCCCTCTCCATGGCTTGTTCTAGATGAAGGAAAGATTATAAAGAGACAACGTAAAAAACAACTGCTCGATGGTACATTTTAAAGTGAAAGAGATGGAATTGGTCTTGTCATTTTGGCACGTTTGATATTTAACTTGCACATCCACTTATCACAGAGATATCACATACATGTTGTGCCATTTTGAATTACTCTGCGACTTTTAATTGATAATACAAGATGATGTCATGTGAGAGGCCACATTTATATCATTTGGGGGTTCTACCTGCACAAGCTCTCTGGTGTAACATTTCAGACAATTAATTCTGATGTATATTAAAGGGGCATGTTCCCCCTATTCCAGAGGGCGTTCAAAATATGCCCGTGCTGGCGGACGGTGCTATAGCTGCTTATTGACACCAACAGAATACGGCTCTTACGCAGATCATGAGATGGCATGTTCCGATAACTACACTGGCGGGAACGTGCCCCTTTATTTAATCATTTCTCATTCTCACAAAAAAAGGAAGCTTCATCATTTGTATCAAATTCTGTATCGGTGATCAGTTTGCTTTGCTATTTGTCTCCAGTACAATCATGGGGGTAGTACTCGACAAATCATTTTTGATTTTTGACTACCCCTTCCACATTTGCTAATTGTTTTCTTTTTAAAACATACATTGCTCCAACTGGAGTCGTTTTATATATGATGTACATGGTCTATTATTGTATTGTATGTATGTATTTTATTTTATGTAGCTCCCTATGTTTTGCATTTGTAGAGAAATAAATTGAACTTGAACTTGAACTCATTGTTCAATAAGTCACTTATTAAATAGCAAAGTGTAACATGATGATGAGATGAGTCTACTTTTAGTGTGAAGATTGTACTACTTGCCTATAACATCTAAAGTTTGTCCTGTATGCTTCACATAGAGTTTGTTGATCTGTTTCTTCAGCTTAATGATCTCTTCTGCTTGAATCTGAATATCTGTTGCTTGACCCTAAAAAAAAAACAAAGCAAAGATGAAAAAATTATGTGTGCATGGATGTTTAAATCACAAACTGTGTATATTGCAAAGCACATAAGGGGAGTATGAGTAATTAATATTTTTTTAAAATAAATTAATGATAATAATATTCCACTTATTAAATACAAATGTCCCTAAATGCTTTACAGATATACTGTTACCCCGGTCATTGGATTCAATACTTTCCCGCACACACTGTGTGCAAAATCTTCACTCCCTGGGGAGCATTCCAGCCAGGCATTACTTGATGCTCAAAAAGTGTTTGACCAATAATGATGGTCGCATTAAGTCGAAAAATCCATCATAAATGAACTAATTACTGTGATTGATGAGAGCGTAACTTACCACAGCCTGACCCGACGGCTGATGAACCATGATTCTTGAGTTAGGTAGACTGTGTCTCATCCCTGGTGCACCCGCGGTGAGAAGTAAAGATCCCATACTACAGGCCTGTCCTACACACCATGTAGCTATAGGAGGTAGAACATACTGCATGCTATCATAGATACCAAGGCCGGCTGTTACTGATCCTCCTGTAAGAAAAAAGCAAAGAAACATCAGAGAGTCCATCCGTACAAGCCTGGGGGTGTTTTACAAAGACTAAGATCGACTTTAAGTTGGACTTAACTATGGCAGACCATTCATGCCACTAGTTGCTCTCACCATTGGTCTCTCAATTATGATCTTTAGATAACATTTTTTCCTTCAATAATGAACTATCAAAAAAGGTAAATTCTGTAGAATTTGTGACCACGATTTGTACGTCCCTTGAGAAACCAATGCAAAGAATGGTTAGAGGAACTAGTGAAATTAAAGGCCTGCCATAGTTAAGTTGAACTTAAAGTTGATCTTAGTCTTTGTGAAACCCTCCCCTGGTCTACAATGTCAATAGGAGGTAGGACAAATGCCACAGTTTCATTGATACCAAGACTTGGGCCCCGTCTTATTAAGAGTTGCGATTGGATATCGATCGCAAGTTTGCAGTCACCTATCTCTTACGTACATAGTTGCGATTGATATCAATAAGTCGCGTTTGTTAAATTAAACTCTTTATAAGACGGGGCCCAGCTATCACTTAATCACCTGTTAAAATCATATACTTGTAAATCTAACATGGAAGGAATAATACGGCAACTACTTCAGCAACATATTTATAATTTAAGATAACATCATAGGAGCATAGTTTCATTCACATCTACAGGATGTATGTAGCTTGCCGTAAATGTAATGATTATGGAATTATTGGGGTACGTATTAAAGCCAAATTGTTATACCTGGACTGTTGATGTACATGTGGATTGGTTTCTTGTTACTCTCTGACTGCAAGAATAATAACTGTGCTATCACCACACTAGATACCGTGTCGTTTACCTATTAAAAGTAGAAATCAAAGTACCATAAGATTTCAAAGGAATTAGAATGAAAAAGGAACAATATCTTTAACAATGATATAATATAATATGATAATACTACAAATATATAGGTTTTCCATTTCATACATGTATGTAACACTCATTTCAAACTCTTGATGTAGATGATAATTTACTTTTTCCATCCCTCTTTCTAGCTCTAAAAATGCAAGCCCCCTAGTTACAATATTGCATGAGGTAAATGCTGAGGGTTGACTCTGTATTAGGCATTTGAGTTTATACGCCCTTTTGTTTCTCATTATACAGATATATAGGTACATGTAAATGTACAGACAAAGAATTTTGATGGAAGCTTGAGCACTGGCTAAAAGTCCACACAACTGAAAGGTATACCAATTAGTTCCTTACAAAAAATGTAGTTCCACATTAAAGGTAAAGACCAGTTATGGTCAAGCGATTGCATTGTGAAAGAAACGTTGTGGAATCGATCAGGAAAGGTTGATCATCTTGCATATAAGTATTGGTGTGTACTGCAAGGTTTTGGAATCATCAAAATGATAAGAAATATGGCCCAGTCTTCGTAAAGTTACAAGCACTGTACACAGAAAGATGTATATGGGACTATACGCACATGTGCGCGACACGTGCGTATATCTCTCACAGACCATGTAGATAAACTAATTTACCAAATATATTTATTATAGGCGGTTTCCCGGCAAATTTTTTATCATCATGTATTAGTCAAAACATATTCTTTCACATGATTGGTAATAAGAGCTTCCATTTCATTTTTTGAAATTGGGGCATTTCCAATACTGGTCTTTACCTTTAACCCTTGTAGGACAGGATTTATTTGTGGGGCTATATTGACCACATATTGTTTTTCAAAATGGCAACAATTATATTTTCTTTTATTGCTACAATGATAGAATAAAATGCAATGTCTCTGAAATCAATATACATGGGAGAGAATATTGTCAATTTTTTTTTTAAATGACCAGTTTTTATTGAAAGCAATGATTTTTAATTCTCAACGTGTTGTAAATTTTATAGATTTGCAAGGCAAGGCAAGGCAGTCATGGAACAAAAATGGATGCAGTATATGCTTGGTTGGTCCCCCATGGTCCCATTTTTCTTATGTTAATTGAGAGCTGAGTTAATGAGATAACCACCTGTGACCTGTCAGTGACCACGCTTGGAGGTCTAATCCCTCCTGGTCAAACTAGTGCAGACAGCATGGGCGTAAATCCTTACATAATACCTATTGATCAGGGGGGGAATGAATGAATAGATCATCCCCCCTGAACAATAGGTATTACGTAAGGATTTACGCCCATGGCAGACAGGATTTAAGAAGTGCATGTATGAAGGTTAGGGACCTTCCACACATGGAGGTATAGTTTTGAGAGTGGTTACTTACAGGTCCCATAAGGCAGATGATACGCTCCTTGAGTAGTCTGGAGTAGATGTCATAAGCTCGCTCTCCTCTTCCCTGATAAATCATAACAATTATTTGAGAAAAACCTATATTTCATTTCATTCATTGGTTCAACCATTTTTTTAAAACAATATTCAGAAACACAAACAATGTTCGAAGGACATAATACAGAACATGTTGGACATACAAAAAAAAATAGTTAGGGAACCCGAGAGAAGCTTAAGCTTGTAAGTGGGGTTCCCTGTACGATAAACAAGTAAAATTGTATAACAAAAACCAGATAATAAATTAAGACAAACTAAACCATAGCACCCGTCAGTAATGAACACTGGCTTAATTCATTAGGTGCAAGATGAGTAAAGAAAAACCTGACATATAGTTATATAGCAATGAGCACTAGCTAAATTCATTAAAGGTAATACAAAGTTTTGGTATGGGGTCATGAATTTGGTTCAAATGAACTTATTGGAAGCATATGCGATTTTACAATATTCAGTGATCGTTGTCGCGGTTGAAATCGAGTCTAAAGTTATGACATTTTAAATAATAAACTCTTTATGTTGTATAGCTCCCTCTCAAGGTCAAGATATTAATTAAGCTTTAAAACAATGTTTCTTGACTAAAATCGACCAATTAGCCATTCCCGTTTGGAATTATATATCACAAATACATATTCAGAGATTTTTATGGTTGCAGCTACCATTGTACGGCTGTAGGCGCTATTACAAATTTGTCACAATTTACCGGGAGCACCGGTAAATTTTTATATTCAATTTTTCTCGAAAGCAGAAGTGTTTTAGAGGCTAACTTTTCTAGTGCTTTTTATACATCCACAGGTGCATCCAAATATATAAAAATGGTAAGAATCACTATCCACCCAATTTTCAAAATTTCCCAAAACTTTGTATTACCTTTTACAGACAATATCTTTGTCATAATTTCCAAACATTAAAACAAAGATAAGAATGACACTGAGCTGAGTTAACTTAAAGACAGAAATTATCAAAGTACCAGTATAGGAATTATGAATTCTTTGCAAGCATTGAAAATATAATTTTTATTTACACTATATCAAAACTACATTTACTCAGTCCCCCCCCCCCCCCCAAAGAGGGACAGGTGGGCACATATCCCACTAGTTTGTATTCTCAGAGACAGATAGCCCTTTCCAAATCAAAACTTCATTCTTTCATTCTTTTGATCTTTCACAATTTTTGTGAAATCAAAGAGATTTAGAAAGAATAATTATGGCAATTTCATTAAAATAATTCATAGAATATACGCAATTTGGGGTTACTTTTTGTGACTATTCATCCTTTAATTCTTTAATATCAAATAGAACAGCCAAACTTACCGTTTGTTCAATGACAATGGGCACTAGTGGTGTATGAAGTTTAGCTCCATTGTGAAGACTCCTGTGACAAATGCCTCCCAATTTACTGCTCACAGAAGGTAATTGCTGCCCAAACAGAGAATAGATATAATCATCAATTTAAAATAACATTACAAAACATATGAATAAAAGAGGAAATTAAAACCTATACATGATCCCGTTTTAAGATGACCTCTACAATGTATGGTGAATGGTTTCTGACGAGGTAGTTCTGTTGAATCTGTTCTATAAAATTAAACAGAAAGTTATTTATTTCAATGCTTTTCAAAAAAAATAATGCATGGTATTATAATATAGTTACCAGTGCACATTTTGAGCCATTTTGTTAAAGTTCAACTGACCGTGGGGAAAAAAAAAGAGATCTGTTGTTGATGTTTTATTCGGGTTGTGAATATTTACGCCAAAATGTATTCACATTCACCAAAATAAAAGGAGAAGAAAGAAAGAAAAAGAAAATCTACGTTGCATAATTTGTCCGCAATTTGTGTAGATTCTCCACAGGCTGTCAGCATAAATTATTTCACTGGTCATAATCCAACTGATGGGGATGGGGTGGAGATGGGAGATGGAATACAAATTTGTCCTCTCAGGGAAACCAACAACAACAACAAAAGATGATGCTAATGAAGCAAGCAGACATGCAGGGTGCTACAAGAATTTTTTTCACCACTTGCCCTGTCGGGCAAGTGGGTTTTCAATTTACTTGCCCAAACAATATTTCCACTTGCCCAAAACTTTAAAGCGAAAAAGGACTCGAGGTTAAAGCATTTATTATCTCGTAATGATAAGTTAGTGTTTTAGATAGCAAATTAATGCACATACATGTACAGTGTAACTGTACTGAATAATAACCTAATATGTCAAAGAAAATGGTCAACAAAGGATGGTTGAAGGTTTAAAAAACGCATTTTATTGATTCTCCATAAATAATCAGATTCACATGAATCTCGGCAAGGTAGAATGGTTCAAGCAGGTTTAAGTTTTTAATATTCAGTCATGTAAAAAAGCATAATGACCCTGTTGTAAAAAAATATGATACAAACATGTCATTAATGGTAGCCACATGTACCATGGTGCAACATCACATGTGTGTCTGTGCAAGCCGCTGTCATTTGGAAACGTAGGCTAATTTTCAGCTGTTAATAATTTGGGTCAACTCTTCCATCAAGAAACGTCATGTAAATAATGGGTAATCAACTATTTTAAATAAAGTACGGACATTTTTATTTCATCATTCACTGCTATAAATATCATGCCAAAATTTGTAAATTCTTACTAAATAATAATATTGAAGATATTTTACGATAAATCTCGGATAAGTATGCGAAAACTAGACTAAACAACGTCGCTAAAACCATGAAAACAAAACAACAACGGCTTATATTCTGGGGGTCTCGATACTATTATCAAAATGACTCGCTCGGTCGGATCTTGAGACCGCAGTAATAAATTGAAAACGAGACAAAAACATTCATCTGATTTATATGAGCAGCGAGTTTTAAATAATATGTTCACAATCATTAACAGTCATTATGAATAAATATCAAACATTTGACTTTTTGTACTTACTAGAAAATCCCTGTTGTTTATTCCATTCCGATTCGCACGTGTTCATTTCCCTAGAATAATGACGTCATATTTGGCGTGATTCAACCAATCGGCAATCAGAGAATAGCAAAGGCCTGTCGGCGCGGTGCGGCCTGCAGAGCTAGAGAGAGAGAGCGCGAATAAGCTCGCAGCTGGTACGATCGCGCTAGCTGTCTCTAGCTAGCTCACGGCCGGCCGTGCGTGGAGGCGGAGCGGCATTCATGGCTTGAAGTGTCACTGTTGCATGCGCGCTGAGCTAGCTGAGCTGGCTAGCTGTCTGTGAAGTTTTTTCGAAATCGGAACGATCGCTTTTTTGCTTCTGGATTTTGACGACGGGTAAGAAGTTGACGGGTGAATGGTAGAGTTCTTGGACACTAGGAAATTACTGTAAAAGTATCACTTGCCCGAATCGGGCAAGTGATAATTTGATTTACTTGCCCGACGGCTCAATTTGGTTGCCCCGGGACGTCGGGCAAGCGGGTTTGTCGCGCCCTGACATGGTATAATCATATAATGTATTCATTAAAAAAAACAGTTGGATTATAAATTACGAAATAGCGAATAGTTAACGATTAGATCTATGTCTGTCTGGAGGCCAGACTAGCTCTAAAAGTAAAACACAAACTTGACAAAGATCCACTCGTTTTAATCCATAAATCATACTATAACATTATCCTCATTGTTAAAATAAAATATCTGGAAGTAAAATGGCTGCATTATGCATGCTTTACAACATCATGATGCCCAACTCTCAAGATATAAACGATTCCTTAGATCTTCTATGAGAAACTGAATAACCGTCGGTGCATGAATTTCAGCAGGTGGGACTGATTTATACAAAATGTTGGAAGATTTGTCAAATTCAGGTACATTTTGCAAGCATCTTACAATCGTCAAGTAAATACATCAACATATTATACTTACTTTCAATACTTTCAACATCTTCAAGCTTGAATTTTGGTTGATGCACTTAAATTCAGATAAAAACTGACACTGAGTATAATTTATAATTTACACAACACAATGATATAATTTTAGTCTTGCTTCGACTCGCTAAGATTTCTTACAGCTGGTATATGAATAGGTATGCTACGTTTGGAGAAATACATTTCTTAGTAATCTTTTCTTCAGCTAAAAAAAAGTTTAAATTGTCTTCAATATTACGTTAACAAGATTAAAAGATAGTTTACATAATAGAGCACAAGCTAGCGGCGTACCCTATACCTCCCAGGGCTCAAAACCGTTTTTTTTTTTTTTTGGGGGGGGGGGTGTCAGGACAAAATCTGCATCACCACCAAGTAGCATAATGTAGGGATGGCGAAAATATACCATTGTTTAGACATTGGTATATATATATATATATATATACCCTATATTGTAATTACATTATCAGGGATGATTTCAATATTTGTTTCTCTTTAAGCATCATACTTTGCAGTTGGGTGTGATGGTCTGAAAATTCATTTGCAAGTGAGCAAAGCGAGCGACGAAAATTGTTAAGAGTTGTGAGGTCGCAGTGCAAAAAATTACAACTTATAAGAGGAAAAACCCAATCCTGATGGGGTTAAAGCACATTCTCATAACGTAAGACTAAAAAGACCTTTGATAGCTAGGTAACATAATTATAACATCTATAAATGCGGAAGAGCGGAGCAAGCGAGCTTTGGGGGATATTGCTCTTTACCGCTTGAAATTAGGGGCACGTTTAATGATGAGAGGAAAAAGGGACACTTATCAGAAAAGAAAAGGAGCATGTGTCAAAGTTAAAAGGCTAATTATCAGAGGTGAAAACGGGGCACTAATTCTTACACCTCAAAAAAAAAAGGCACTCACCATGCAGGGATGAAGATGGCACTTATGAGAATGGCAAAATGGGCATTTATCGACGGAAAAGAGGCACCCATCAGATTTTGATAGGGGCATTTATAAGAAGTGAAAATGGGCATTTATGAACGGGATAGGTTCCTATTTAGAAAGGAAAAGGGGTACGTATTATTGTTAATCAGCTAGAGGAGAAAAGGGGCACTGACCATAAATGAATAGAGTCACTTATATGAGAATGAAAAAGGGGCACTATATAATAATAAAGGGAAATGTGCATTTGTTGAAAGAAAAGGGGCACCGATCAGATTTTAATAGGGGCGTTTTTTAAGGTGAAAGGGGCTTTTATTCAAAAGGGAGAAGTGCATGGCTCTTATTAAAAAGAAAAAGAGGCACATGTTAAAATAATTGGGGCACTTAAATAATATCAGAGATGAAAAGTGGTAATTATGACAAGGGGAAGGGGCACTTATAAGAAGGAAAAAGAGCATTCATTAGGAAGGAAAAGGGGGACGTGTCTAAATAAAAGAGGCATTTATTAGAAATGAAAAGATCGAGCCTTTATCAGGAGGGGAAGTCAAAGTAAAAGGAGTATCTCTCAGCATTGAATGGGGTCATTTACAAGAGGTGAAAAGGGGGCACTTATGAGAATGAAAAGGCGCATTTATGAGAAGGGGAAGGGGCTTATTTTAATGGGGGCACTTATCATAAGGAAAAAGGGCACTTATTAGAAAGGAACGGGTGCACAAGACAATCTTGTGAAAAATATTATGCGCTTAACCAAGTTTAAAAGGGGTATATTTATTAAAAGGGGAGGGGCACTTCTACAAAGGAAAAGGGGCACTTGTCAAAGCAAAATGGGCACCACTCAGATGTGAATCGGGCAATTATCAGAGGTGAAGGGGGCGCCTATCAAAAGTGAAAAGGAGCGCTAGCGCTTCTCGTACCTGAAAAGGGGCAATTACTATAGATTTAAAAAATGGCACTTATTGCAAGGGAAAATGGAAACTTAATTGTCGAAGGAAAAGGGGGACTTATCAGAGTTGGAAAGGGAAAGGGGCACTTTTACCAATTAATAGGGGCACTTGTCAAGGTAAAAGGGGCATTTTTCCCATGTAAAAAGGGGCACTCCTGGGTACTTGAAAAAGTAGGGGGATCGAGGCACTGTGCCCCTGCCCCCCCCCCCTGGAGCGCCGCTTCTGCATGTATTTCAACTTTTGTTAATAATATACACGTACTTATATATTATTTTCAATTTTAAAATCAGACAAACTAAAAGTAACAAACCTTATGATACATTTATGAACAATTAAAATCATTATAATCTGATTTGTGATTTTGGCTTCAATTGTCATCAATTCAAGCTTCTATTTATAGCTGGGAGGCTTTGAAGAACAAATCGATGAAATGACCTTCATATTGCACTTCTCCTGTTATCTATATCATATTGTGTCATATAATGTTACATTACGCATTCAAAAAAACAAAATCAATCTATGATGTATGGATAATAAAAAAGAATTTAGTTGAATTCTTATGAATTCATAAGAATCCTTATTAATTTATTTATTTGTCTATACTTTGTCATTTATTGAGTGAGATTTATATTTACAGTTATATAGTTAGTAACCTAAATTTTCATGCAAAAGATGCAATCAAATTTTTGATAATTTTTTTATTAGGTAAATCATGGATCCTATACATGGGTAAATTAAAGAATCAAGCACAAGAAGTGTATTTTGACCATAGAGATATATACTTAACATTGTTGTGTTATATCTCTATGATTTTGACATTTTATATGTTGACTTTAGCTCGACTTAAGAGGGCGTACACAAGAAATCTAAGAAATCGTGTCACACCGAAATCACAGTCCTCCGCACTACTGTACCGTTTTAAGTAAGTAAAATTATTGAAAATGATGAGTCAATGTCTCTGATATATTTCGAAAATGGTATGTACAGATCTCTGTAGGATATCATTCCATTATAGAGTATTTTCAGTGTTGCTAGTGTAGTATAGAGGAGAGTTGGTCGTCGGGTGAGTGAGAGCCACTGTGTTTATCAGCAGATGTGTGAACTGCTTCAGGGGTCCGCGAAGGGCTCGGCCGAGACCTCGGGACGCGACGGGGTCGTGGCCGTGGCTGGCGATGCATGTAAGGTTGCTGGCATGATGTGGAGTTGTGTATGGACGCTTAAAGTTAAAGGGGGTGTAGGATGGCAAATACATTATTGGTTAACGCCATTCTACGTCTTCTTTTGGACAATTGCACAAAAACGAATGGATTTGATTAACTGGGTCATCGCTAGCGTTTGAGAAACAGACCAAAGTTTTCCATGCGCTTCGTTTTTGCGTCACTCCAGCAAAGCATAGACTTAGGTCTGGTCTAGAGTCAATGCTAATGCAAATTGACCTCTAGCGCTGTACTACGTGCTGAGAGGCAGCAATTTAACACACTACACAGAATTGCACACTAATGCACACAATGAATGCGATGTGGCTGATCGGCAAGTTTGACAGTAGACTCACGATTAGACCGAAAGCTTCAGTCTCTCTAATCGTCTGTTGTTCCACTGAGACTGTCGTCTGGCTCCAATAGACCTCCGATTATAGAGACTGAAGTCTGGGGACCTCTTTCTGTGAGGCACTGTACGGAACAAATGGTTCGGTTCGACCGGACCGCGATGAATGAGATATGCAACGAGATTTTCACTCTTTACATCCTCATAACTGCTGCAATTATAACACAAATTAAAAATAACATATATATAGCTTATTTGACTTACGATAGCTTGCTCATTTAGATCCTAAATTAATGATTAATCTGAGAAAGTCTCGTCGTCAACATTGTCCGTCTTGGTGTTAGTTGATGAATATTCATTTTTTCTTTTCGAACGTCCAATAGCTACCGTAGCTACGTGCCAGTAAGCCCAGCTTGACCAACGAACTCCCACGAAACGAGTGCTCTGATTGGCCATTTGGCTATGTTTTGGTAGGTTGACCCGGAAATATTTTGGCCGCCGGGTCATATAGCCCTATGTTCCGAGTGCATGAACGTTCGGAGATACAAATTGGATAATTCATATAAGTAAGTCCGTAAATTATAAATTTAATATTGAGTTATCAAATTTTGATAACTGTAATTAGGACAAATGACATACCGACCTAATTTACATCTGATTTACAAATCAGGAAATTAGATCTAAATAAAGAAAATCGGGGAGAAAATGTCGTGGACGAAAATATGCACATCTAGGCCTATAGCCACCTCCACGGTACGAGATCTCTGGGTTGCCATCTGTATTGGGGAATGACAACAAATGTCAGTTTTATTAAAGAAATGACCCAAATCAGATGGTTATTGCTGTCTAACTCACGATTTGAATTTTCAAAATATTCTTTCTAACAACGGTAAAAGTTTAAAAGATTTTATTTTACTGCTATTTAGGTGTCATCGATTTTCACTAATGTACCGATTTTGAGTGAACTCAGTTGAGTTTTGTACAGTGGTGTTTGAAATGTTGAGAATCAATAGAACAGTTTTTAATACACGGCCAGGATAGTAATGCAGCTATGAGTGGTTTTGCGTATGTGAACAATACTTTTTTTTCTCCTTTTTGCACTGACTGCTGAGACTGGCAGGTGGTTCCAGATCCTTATTGCTCTTGGATAGTATGAGAACTTGAAATTAATGTTACCATCTTCTTTTTTTACCTGTTTTTTGCCAGGGGGAGGGGGGCTGTAGATCTGCGCCTGCAATAATGAACAAAAGGCCTTCATACATCTGGCCTGAAATGAAATCCATTGTAAACTACAATATTTATGTGAATCATTCCAAGTGTCGTTGATTAGTTTGACCTGAGAATCTAACAATTTAACTTCCAGTACTCTTCCAGACGTGACAAACTTTTATTCTACTCTCCCTCAATACAGAACTACTGCAACTTGTAAGCAAGAATTATTGTCTTGGTGTAACGTCACGTAAGAAGCCAGGATGTCAATACAGAACCGGCTTGTTTTTGCCATTGTTGAGTTCTTGGACCAGCAGGTTCGCTCCAATGCAGTATCCGGAGAGGCCCTTGAGAGTTTAGAAGGCAAGTGGTTTTGTTTATACAAGAAGTAGGATAGCGCCAGTTTTAAAGCCCCACCGTACTACTTATAGCTACTTGTGGCCTCTACATGTATAAAGCAAACAATGCCTAATCAGTGCCTGTTGGTCCCCCATGATTCCTTTGTCTTATGTTAATTGTGAGCTGATTTGATGAGATAACCACCTGTCAGTGACCTTGCAGGGAGGTCTAATCTCCTCTGGCCAAACTAGTGCAGACGGCTTTAAACTAACTACTCTGTAAATAATCTATGAAATATGGTCTTTATTTAGTTACATTTGAATAGTAGATTCAAAGATGAATTCCATATATATTCCAACACACCAACAAAATTGCCTGATTTATGCATGGCTATTTGTAGGCATACAGTTGTGGAGTTTGTCCTATGCTTTCGCTAAAACTTACCATTGATGATAGAGGTGGTACAGTGTTCTATTCAAACTATGTTTGGTCTTTATTTCAAATAACTTTAATGAGTATTTCATTTCTCTCTGTTTTTTTTTGTAGTTGGCCTGCAGTGCCTTCAGACAGCGTATGGAATCAGCTTAGATGATCCTGCCCTCACTTCACAAAAGACAGAGAGATCATTACTGGAGATTTTCACATCGGCTGTAGGAGGGCAACAGGTACAATCATAATCAGGGAAAAAAATAATTTAACAATTTCGGGGGCTACTTTTCAAGCTTGCTTGCATGAAAATAACACTCTTTATTTTGTTTTGCATTGAACTCTATGCAATTTTGGGGGGCTCTTTTATGACTTTCGGGGGCACTTTTTGGCATTTCGGGGGCAAATTTGCCCCAAGTCCCGTTTATTTTTTTACATGATCATAATCCTTCAAGTCTTGTGAATGTTCCGCACCTAAGGAGGCAAATCAAGGATTGAGAGCCACTCAAGGTGTCGTCTGACACAAGATAGAGCTTGTTAATGCCTCCTGGGAACCTTGTGATGAAAATCAGTGTACCCAATCGATTTGCGACTCCTCCCTCTTTCTGTTTTTACTTTCTGTCTCTCCTCTCTTCCTATTCCATATTTTCTCCAGACATGCGTCTTTTGTATCAATTATGTCTGTATCTTGATCCCTATTTCTCTATTCCTCTTTATTTTATCTTCTTTCGTCCCCCTCTCTTTGTCTTCTATTGTTTTTTGTTTGTTTTTTGCACTCTTTCTTATATTTTAATTTTCATAATGCGGCCAACTATTCTGGTGCTTTCTCCCCTACCTTTCTTTTTTCTGGAGGTACAACACACATCCTGAAAGTTATCTTTCTGCAATGAAACAGTCTTTTCTTCTCTTTTTTTCTCGTAAAGACAGGAATTGTCAGTGGGGAAGGGGGGGGGGATAGAACTTTGTTGAAAATATATAATCAAACTCATGTTAACCATTCAGCTATTCACTCAGAATACACAACCAAGAATGGAGGATTAGTGAGTGATCTACATGTTTATAAGTGGAAACTTTCATCAACAACAAAGAAAGAAAAACAGAATAGCTCTGGCAAAAGAATTGTTGTGTGTGGAATTCTCTTTAACATTGACTATCGGAATAGAGCCCTCGTAACAAAGACATGCAAGTACATTTGTCACTGGGAAAATGAATTATTGATAAAGTAGCAAGTTTTTTGTTTTTGTTAATTTGATGTTGTTTTATAGCCTGATGTAACACAAGTAGCTCAATCCAGCATTGGAGCATGTTCAGCAGCACCAGGGCCAGAGATCTCAGAGGCTGACAAGGCCCGGGCAGAAAAGCTCAAAAATGAGGGTGAGTCCCGCTTTTTTGCTTGCTATTTCTTTATTACTATTTAAAGCCCCACTGTACTACTTAAACCTACTTGCGCCCTCTATATAGCAAACAATACCTAATCGGTGCCTGTTGATCCCCCACGATCTCCTTTTGCTTATGTTAATTGAGAGCTGATTTGATGAGATAACTACCTGTCAGTGACCTTGCAGGGAGGTCAAATCCCCTTGGCTAAACTAGTACAGACAGGCTTTAATATGTTCAGGGGAAACTATAACAAGGTAAACGAGGATATCGTTAGGGGCAGATTCTAATTTACGTGTAATTCTATGGAGGCATGAACCTCTTATAACGAGATAGGCTATTACAGAGCTGCCAACCATTCCGTTTTTGCTGGAATTACTCCGTTTTTTCCTCCAAATTACGGTATTACGTTTTTTCTTCATAAAATACATTTTTTTTTTTTTAAATTTTTTTTAATAATTTTTTTTACATACCACACGTCAACCAACTGGCCTAAAATGGTGATTTCATCACAAATTCAATAGGAAACTAATTTTAAAACGTACTTGAAGAGAAAAATATTCCCAAAAAGAATGAAATGCAGATAATACCAACATAACCAAAACAAAAAAACCTGCTTGTTTGGAAAAAACAGCATGAGGACATTTCTGCATTGGAAGTGTGTCGCGCATGGTTGTAAGTTTCGTTTTTATGAATTCCTTGTTTTTGCTTGAAATTCCTTTTTTTTGCCATCATGATTCCTTTTTTTGGTCGCACAAGGTTGGCAGCTCTGCTATTATGAGGTAAGTCCCATGCTCCTAAAACAAAGAAAAACAGTGTTAATCGTTCCAGCTACAAGCAATTTCACTGCTCTTCATGCGTTCAACAATTCATTGGAAATGATGATGAGGATGATGATGATTCACAGCATTTGAATGGCGCCATATATCTGTTTCAAAAATATTCAAAGGCGCGAGCTCCTCCAATAAAGTTTGCATTTAAATGTCTGAAGGAAGATGTGAGTTATGAGTTAAGCTTTGAAGTGGTCCAGGTTGTCAGTTTAGCGAATAGATGATGGTAGGGAATTCCACAAGCAAGGAGCAATAGAGGAAAATGCCCGGTCTCCATATCCCTTGAGTTGAGTAATGGGCATCTGGAGAGTAAGGCCGGATGAGCGAAGTCCAGGGCGAAGATGACGCCGCTCGATTAAAGATAAAGACCAGTTATGGTAATGCGATTGCATTGTGAAAGAAACGTTGTGAAATCGATCAGAAAAGGTTATCATCTAGCATAAATGTACTGCAAGGTTCTGGAATCATCAAAATGATCTTTGGCCCAGTCTTCATAAAGTTACAAGCACTGTACACAGAAAGATGTATATGGGACTACGCACACGTACGCGACACATGCATTTTTATCTCTCACAGGCCAATAGATAAACTACTTTACCAAATATTTCAATTAGTAGGCGGTTTCCCGGCAAAATTTTTATCATCATGTATTATTCAAAACATATTCTTTCACATGATTGGTAATAAGAGCTTCCATTTCATTTTTTTGAAATTGGGGCGTTTCTGATACCGGTCTTTACCTTTAACATGGTTGTGATAGCTGTCCCTCCTTTTGTGTTTTTTATTCAGGTAATGAATTGATGAAGAAAGAACAGTACAACAAGGCAATAGAGGTGTATACACAGGCCATTAATCTCAACTCACAGAAGTCAGTGTATTACAGCAACCGCGCAGCAGCTTACAGCAAGGTAGAGAACCATGAGAAAGCCTTAGAAGACTGTCAGAAAGCCGTCAGTATAGACCCCACCTACAGCAAAGCCTATGGAAGGATGGGGTGAGTGCACTTTATATTTTTATGGTAAAAGTGTATGTGTGAATGCCCTTTTGGCTCTAAACATACAATAACATTGTAAAAAAGAGCTTACAAAGTAATTTCTATAATTATAATGATAATTATATTTGCTTATGTAGTGATAGTGATAGTGGTGGTTATTTTACCTGACAGCTAAGAAAGCAATAAATGCTTGTTAGTAAGCAACCAGAAGACCGACGGCTTAAGGTCCTCTCCAAGGGACCTGGTAATGAGGATTAATGCCTTACCAAAGGGCACTAGCGTATCGACTTGGTTTCGAACCCGGGTCACCGGATAACGAGACCACTGCTCTACCGACTGAGCTATCGGGCCTCCTCATATAGCACCTAACACTTTATCAGAAGTCTCTACGCGCTCTGCAATAATGCAGCATAATTACCCTTGCTTTACTAGAGCAGCTGTGACGCGCTCTGCATTTCAAATAAATTCCTCCCAGGGCCCTGTTTCACAAACTTGTAATCAACAACAACTGCCACAGATCTATGACAAATCTGCTCACAGCCAATCAAATGCCAGGATTTCAGTAGCTTCTAACAACTATCGTAAATTGTCACTGATAACCAGTTTCATGAAACAGGGCCCAGGTCCCCATTTACTTCACCTGGGTGGAGTGTGGCAAAATGTAGATCAATGTCTTGCCAAAGGACATCAGTGCCGCGGCGGGACTCGAACCGCGGACCTTGTGATCGACAGTCGGGCGACGTATCCACTCCACCATGACACCTCTACACATGGCCCTCCCAACCTTATCTTTGAAAAGTTATGTTGAGTATTATTGGTACATTTTATGTGACAGATCTACAAATCATTTGGAATGATTCATTACGGGGTAAATGTATATTTTAAATGTATTTTAAGGGATTTCCTACATTAACAAGCATTTTGTCAGGAAAAAATTGAAACCAAGTCGACAAATTGTCACTTTTCAATATATGAAATTTGTATTTGTTTAAATTCAGTCAGCTTACATTAAACAAAAATGAAACATTGGAGAAGGTAAAAGGTACATAAGAGGCTGCGTTAGGCAAAACGCGAATTGAATCACTGTAACCCTCGGGTCCGTTTTCCTGATATAACTGAATGGGGTTGTGCAGGCTGGTGAACCACTACACTGGGGTTTCCCCCTACTCTGATACTAATAGTGCAGTGGGTTCTAACATACGAAGGTGGTGACTCTCCCCTACATGGGGCCTCCATTTAACGTCCTAACTGAGGGACGGAGTGTTTTCCACTGTAACATAGCCTGCATCTATGAAATAGGGGAGGGGCGAAATAACGCACAATGCAGACAGGCAGACGGGCAAACGCTTTACCAACTCAGCCAACTCGCCTCCTTTTTTTTCCCCAGCCTAGCGTATTCTAGCATGAATGAATTCCAGAAAGCCTGTGAAGCATACACAAGAGCAGTAGATTTGGAGCCAGGGAACAGCTCGTATCGAGCGAACCTTGAGATAGCTGAACAAAAACTTAAAGGAGCAAGCTTAGGGGTGAGTGAATTAAAAATTAACCTTATGTGACATATGAAGAGCTTAATTCCCAAAGGAGGTAAATCAGTTTTTGATGAAAATTTAGTTATTGATATCAGAACAATGTTGACTTAAAAAATACCTGTCTTTCAACAAAATTATTTACCTAAATTTAGGGAGCAATTATGAAAATATGCACCTTCTAATATCACTTTTCCATAGACACCTGTACAAAATCTGGTAAACTATTTCTTTTTTCTCTGAAGTTTCAAAAATGGATTTAGCTCCTTTTACTGCTTGATATCTTTGCGCTCTCAAGGCTCCAGATTTCTTGTCAATGCTGGGGGGGGGGGGGGGGGGGGAGAGCCTTTGCTGTGGAATATTGTCCCTCCAAAGATTCTTGGTAGCAGATCACTTGAAGTGCTCAAAAGTAATATGATATATGATTTTTCTTAGTTCTGTTCCTATGTTCATTATGCCGATGCTTTTTATGTGACCCCTTTTTTTCACTTTTTTTCGTCACAAGTCCGCATTGAGCATTTTATTTTAAGTGAATTTGGTGCCTTACAAATCTCATGTATTATTATTATTAGTAGTATTAGTAGAAGTTGCCATGCATGCATATTTGCTACTAGCATAGTCTGTTTACGTCTTCCTTAAAACATTTCATGCAGTTTTTGTAGAGCCTCAAATAAGGAAAAAGAAATATTTGATATTAAAGGGAGTCACTCGACATTTAACTCAGTTTCCATGTGCAGAAGGCCATAATTCGTTGACACCAGACTTGGTGGAAATACCATTAATGGGGGTACAAATCTGCACAAAGCGAACCTGTAGGCCAGTCAAGAATTACCCCCTCTCGAGCTCAAGAGGAGAGCTCGAGAGTCTTCGGGTGAGGGAAAAGCAAAGCATTACATACGGTCTAATGGTCATAAAAACTGAAGGCTAACCCTGGTGATTGACAACACATGTTATTGGGTAAACACCCGAACTGTGTCAAATTCCCCATTCGAGCTGACTTCTACATGTATGTGTCTTTTAACCCTTACTGTACTGGGCTATTTTGAGCACCCACTGACTGGGGGGGGGCCTCCCAGGCCCCCCCCCCCCCTATGATCTCGGCCGTCGATTGTCCGATGAACACAAAAATTTGCATGTTTGTAGATATTTACGTAAGGAACAAGATGGTATAATTAGTTTTTTCCGAATATGCAAATTTTTGTCGTTAGCCTAATTAATTATGCAAAATACGCTAATTTTATGCATTTTACCGAAAACGTGTCAAACTCCACTTTTTGAATGTTGAAACTCATTATTCATATGAAACTTCTTTTCTAACACAAAAAAGTTATTTTAATGTAGTTAATAATGATAATTTATGCAAATTTTGATGCGATTTTCATTTTTTTTTTTTTTTTTGATGACATGCGCATATTAATTGTTATGTAACGCCTTACAGGTATATCCGATTTTGACGAAAATGGTATCAAAATGTGCGTAAGACTTCAGGGAAAAAAGTCATGAAACGACAATTCAAAATTCCAAGCGGTTGCGGCGCAATCTCCGAAAATGTCGAGGGGGGGGGGGCCTCCCAGGCCCCCCCCCAGTACAGTAAGGGTTAATGCAACAGAAAAAAATTGTAGCTATAAAAATATAAATAGTTAATTTCATGGTAGACAGATTTTTTTTTTTTTAAAGGTTCAAAGAATCAAAAAAAAAATTCTGAAAGTAAAATATGTGACAGTATGCATCATTACCTAACATTAAATTCTTTGTCATGGATTAATGCAGGGTGGTGGAGTTCCAAATATGGCAGGCATAAACCCCTCACTGGGAGGTATGGACATGTCACAACTTCTCCAGAATCCAGCTATTATGAATGCTGTAAGTATGATGGACGAGTGAAAAAATATTTTTGAGTCTATTTGCTTGTTTACAAACAAAACCCAGTATTATAATGTTAAATTCTCTTTGACATGCTTTGGTAAACGTGCACGTTCTTGGAACATATATACATATAGATTGAAGTTAACTGTCAAATGCAGGATGATATATACATGCAACTATCTCTCGTCAGTTTTTTAAAAATCTTTTCATTTAAATTCGAACTGATTTGTTTTATAATCAATTCTTATTTCTCTCGTGTTCGTTTGTCTGTACGTCTTGTTCTCTTGATCGCGTTATCTCAAGAACCGAATGATGGATTCCTGCCAAACTTAGGTCATGTATGTATCTTGCAGAGCCAATGAATTGATTAGATTTTGGGGTCACAAGGTCAAAGGTCACAGGGCTCATTATGTATGCTTAAATAGCTTGTGATCACATCATTAGAACTGATGGACAGATTGACATCAATGCATGACATGTATGTATCTTGCAAAGCCAATGAACTGATTAGATTTTGGGGTCATGAGTGGTGATGAGGTCAAAGGTCATTGGGCTCATTATGTATGCAAAAATAGCTTGTGATCACATTATTATTAGAATCGATGGACGGATTACCATCAAACTCAAGACATGTACCGGTATGTATCTTGCAAAGCCAATGAACTGATTAGATTTTAGGGCCATGAGGTCAAAGATAAAAGGGTCGTACATGTATATGAAAAATAGGTTGTAATCACGATATTATGAGAACCTGTAAAGTCCAGTATTGGAAACGCCCCAGTTTCAAAAAAACGAAATAGAAGCTCTTTATTACCAATCATGTGAAAGAATATGTTTTGACTAATACATGATGATACAAAATTTGCCGGGAAACCGCCTACTAATTGATATATTTGGTAAATTAGTTTATCTACTGGACTGTGAGAGATAAACGCACGTGTCGCGCACGTGTGCGTAGTCCCATATACATCTTTCTGTGTACAGTGCTTGTAACTTTACGAAGACTGTGCCAAATTTCTTATCATTTTGATGATTCCAGAACCTTGCAGTACACACCAATACTTATATGCTAGATGATCAACCTTTTCTGATCGATTCCACAACGTTTTTTTCACAATGCAATTGCATGACCATAACAGGTCTTTATCTTTAATGCATTACAATTAAACTTGAATTTAACAAATTGCTTATGTTTTGGTTTGTGAAATCACTCTATGGCGGAGGCATCATTTTTGACTGCACGCAGTCGAAGTTCCATCTAGTTTTCATTAGATTTATCCTCTTACATTTCACTTCTTCTACAAGTCCTTGAACAACAAATGTCTGAGTTGTACAAGGAATGTCAAATCTCATAAATACACTGTTATGTATCTTACTTTTATTTTGTTGTTCACAGGCAACCTCATTTCTTCAGAATCCACAAATGCAACAGATGTAAGTGACCTATTGTTATGGGGGGTGTTTCACAGAGATTCTAAGTTGAACTTATCTCTAATAAGTTGGACTTAACAATTATGGAAAGCCGTTGGCATCTATGAAAATATTGTGTAAAAGTCATTTCAAATGGCATTAAATGTTAATTTAAATCAATCATATTTTCTATTATCAAGGAGATGTCATGTTCTTGATGTGGAATTTATACAAAGTCTAAAATACTTGAATTTTCGCTTTTGAATATATTTTATTTTAAAGACACCATGTCCCTTTTGCAGCCAACATCAAATTCTGTAGAACTTTGCAGGAACTATGAATATGTCATGTTTGTCCTATCGGGGAAATTTAGCAATGTTCTAATATTCAAATTAGGTATGCAAGGAAACCCATTTACTTGCTAGACTTCATTGTCAGACACTATTGAGTGACTGACTGGCTTTTTTCTTCTTTGGTAATAACATATATAAAATGAGCTCTAATGGGTACATGAGCATTTGTCTACATAAATAACACACTTCTTGTAATTGCCAAAATTAAACTGATTGAATCTTTGCACAGCATGAAACGTACAACCAATTGGTACAATGGTCTGAAAATCAGACTATTGCTTACTGGCTCTATAGCTCTTAAGTTGGTTTGACAACTAATAGTCATTATTTTCCCACTTAAAGACATTTTCAAGCCCCCTGTTATGGGGGAAGTTCTAAATTAGTATTATCTTTCAAATGCCGTTGGAATTTAACCTTTCATTTTTGGGGGCATTATTTTGAACCGTAGTAACATTGTAATATTGTAACATTCATTAGTCCATTTCAATTGTATGCCTGCAGTTGTGATCTATCTATTATGATGATGAGATACCATCCTAAGAGACCTACTGCAAATGGAGTTGTATTTATGTTGTATTGTTATTAGGATGCACTCTTTCATGGGTCAAGCCATGCAGCCGGGGGAACAGTCTGACCAAGATGGCGGCGGTGGTGGTGGAGGCGGTATGGCAAACCTGCTCTCTGTGTAAGTCTCTAAAATTCCTTCTAAAAATTCAAATTCTCCAGATTAAATGTGTTATTGCATAATGATGTATCCCTCTATTTGATATGTACTAATTATGTTGTCTCTATTTTTGTATCATTCTTAAGACAATAGAGAAACGTATTTATGGAATATGATCAATAATCCTACCTTCACATGGGCCCAAAGGTTAATTAGAAGTCTAGTATTTAAGAATGTCCTCACATTTGATTGTATGTTGGATTATAATCGACTAAAACAGACCTGTAGTTTGAAGGGAGATGGTCGTCAGTTACCATGTGCAGAAGGTCATAATTCGCTGACATCAGACTTGGTGAAAATACCATTGATGAGTGTACAGGTCTGGCACACAGCAAAGCTGTAGTCCCATCAAGAAATACACCCTGGGGGGTGTTTCACAAAGATCCTAAGTTGAACTTAACTCTAAGTTGGACTTAAAAATTATGGACAGCGATTGGAGTCTTTAAATGAAATATATTCAAAAGCAGAAATTCAAGTATTTTAGACTTTTTATTAATTCAACATCCAGAACATGAAATCTCCTTGATGATAGACAATATGAATGATTTGAATAAACAATTAATGCCTTTCAAAATAACTTTTACAAAATATTTTCAAAGATGCTAATGGCTTTCCATAATTTTTAAGTCCAACTTAGAGATAAGTTCAACTTAGGATCTTTGTGAAACACCCCCCAGGTCTCTTGGAGAGTCCTTGGGTGAGGGAAATGCAAGATAATTACTTTGCCGTATGGGGGGATGGGTGAAAAATGCAGAACCATTACATAAGGCCCATTGGTCATAAAACTGAAGGTTAATCCTCGTGATAGACGACCCCTTCCATCAGGTAAATGCCTGAATGGTGTTGAAATCTCCATGAGAGCCTACTGAAATGTGTCCTTAAGTGATAAGAAGTTTCTTCTGACAAGCTCTTTGCTATTCCTTTTAATGTCTGCTATTTACCTGTACATGCTTTTTACTTATATAATTAAATCAAAAGTTTTCTCAAAAAGGGAAATCTGTTTGTTTATAGTGTTCCCAGTACATCTAAGAGTTTTAGGAGCAAGTTTTAAAACGTTGCACCTCTCTGGATGGTTACTCCTTATTAAAGCACATGTGCAATTTTGCACAAAACAATAGGCACCAATTGGCAGACAGCTTTTTGCAGAAACAATGGCTTTGCAAAATTGGATACCGTACTCATTTCCAGTCTTGACTAGCTCCATGCCAACCCTTTTAACAACAGTGGGTGGTATTCCGGTATCGCTTACTAAGTTAGTCCACATTTTTATGGAGTGCCTGTTGCCAACTCATTTACCCTATACAGATTATTTTAATCCTTCAATGAAAAGTGTCCAAAAAATTAATTTTGCAATGAAATGGGAAGAAAAAGATGATATGAGTATGAACTGAATTTCAACAAAGTCTTTGGTAGATTATCTTTGTCATGAATATTGAATGAGGAAGATGAAACTGAGCATTCCATAGAAGTGTGAACTAAAATTCTTGTTTAGTCTGGACTTAGTCCCGGCTTAACTTACGAGAATACCACCCAATATGTATTAATCTTGCGTTGGAAACAGTTGACCATGAAGCCTGTGGTATACATGTACACATGTATATGTGCCATGATAAAGAGCATGCAGCACAGGAAGATTAATTGTGTTGCGTAATGTTTGGATAATGATTTGCCTGGTCTTACAAACAGAGGGCAGCAGATAGCATCTCAGATCCAGCAGACGAACCCTCAGCTAGTAGAGCAAGTGAGACAGATGAGGAACAGTAGGGCGGATCCCAACGGCACAAATAACAATCAAGAAGAAACCGATAGTAACAACCCGGATCAACCTCCTCCTCCTCCTTCTTCATCGTCATAATGAGACTCACTCAAAGCTGAGAAGTATTGCTCTAAAATTCCACCTACTAGAGTGAGTACTATTTCATATTCTATGTTGCACACAAGTCACAGGCACATTACAGGGGTCCCTTGTTATGAAGAGCACATTTATACCAGAACCTAGATGAAATGAGTTCACTTATTTTCTATATGTTGTCGTTTGGTTGGATTATTTATTTGATGCTGTTAATGTTTTCATACATTGTAACCTAAATATAGTAGGTTCAATGTACCTAATTTTCTTTCTCCCTAGGAGTCTCTATAAAGAGGGTTCCTTTCTGTATTCTTTTCTGAAAGAGCCTTTTGGCCATAGTCCCTTTTCTATTGTTTAAAGTTGATGCAGTTGGGATTTTATGAAGTCTAATATGGCAACTCCATGAACCTATTTGAAGTATGCAAAGAAAGACATATACAGACTCTTCTTTGACCAAAATTTTTGACACAACATCGATATTTGGGCAGTTTTAACTTCCTACACTACTTACTAAAACTGCCAAGGCTATATGTATTCAGAGTTGGTCCAGGCAAGAGTGTTTAATATTCTTAATCAACATATAAGTCTGATGATAGATCAAAACTTGATTACTCTCTCTTTTATCATAGATGGCTGCCAACAGAATTCACCATGACCAAGGTACACTCGTCCATTCTCGACTAACTTTGTCTGCTACTTCACTGACCCACACAGCTGTTCTCATAATCCCGGGAACATTTCAAGGGGCAATCTTCACCGGTCTTGATTGCATTATCCTACAAATTTCGAATTTTGGATCGGTTTACATAAATTGCCAACGATGTATATGTTAGCTTTGAACGTTGATGAACATTTTGTGTACAGATTGCCTATTTAATTTTAAATTTGAGTCGTTCTCCCATGTATTTATATATTTTACTGGTATTATTAGACCGGTGTGTTGGCTCAGTCAGTAGAGCGTCCGCCTCACAACCAGGAGGTCGTGTGTTCAAACCCCGGCCGCGTCATACCAAAAGACGTTAAAAGACGGGAGTTGCTGCTACCTGTCTGGCGTTCAACAATAAGGGCTCACGATCAATTAGGCAAAAAGAATTTCCATTTTCGGTTTAACTTAATAAAATTTAGAGTGGACTTTAAAAGATTATTATTATTATTATTATTAGGACAATGGCATAGGAACTGATTGATGGTCGCCCATAAAAGCAAGAGTTTTGAGTAATGTGCAATTTGAATCATCGCTTGCTGAGAGCGAGAAGAAGTATTAAGATCATGACCTTTGACCCTGGGTAGATGTCACACATAATATGGCATGGGGACAAGTTATATTTATTTTACTCATTTTTTAACCATGGAACCCTTTGGGAAACAATTTTCCCCCTGAGCGATGTGTGTTCCAAGTTGGAAGAAGAAGAAGAAAAGAAGTAGAGAGAAACCCAAATCATTCTGGTATTCAGTGAACTGTTCAAATTTAAACCTTAATACCAAGTAGTCGCAAATGGTCACCTAAAAAAGATTGTCATTTCCCAAACGATATTATTGTTTGAGATATACTCATTACCGGTAGATATTTTCTGTGGGATCAGATGTATGGAATATGTCTTCTATTTTCATAAAGATAGCATATTCTCAATCCAAATATATTGCATATTATTCAAACTTATTTTCACCCAAGACCTACTGGTATGCCATAGAAGGCACATCTTATCAACATGAGAGAAATGATGTCAAAACTGTAATCGTGCATTGTGCCATATTCTTGACAGTTCATTCAGTCAAGACACTCATCTTTTAAGCCTCGGTTAGATTATAGTCATAGTTCAATTTCAAATTTTATTTATAAAAAAAATGGGTTTCAGAAGTCATTCTGTATGATAACCAATCTGATTTTCCTGAAAGAAACCTGTGTAGGTGATTTGTTGTTTCAATGGTATTTTTTAGGTAGTAAAAGTGTTGTTTACAGCTGAACGTAATTGCGACAGAATATTACATTGTGTACCGGTATGCTTTTGATGAATGACCATTTCAAGCTGATTTAATTGTGTAAATCTGTGAATCATTTAATTATGTTAAACTTTCAAGACATTTAAAGTGCCCGCAGAACTAAGAATCCAAATATTTTTCTTGTTGATGTTTGTGTTTGTCTTTAGTTATGTTGATATTGATGTTTGTACAGAGCAAACAATCAAGAGGGATTTGGTGCATGCACAAGTATCTCTAATATGAATTCAATTTTCATATGATCTATAGACTTTTAATGGCCATATGTGATTGGTAGTGTTTTATGAATGAACATGTACTCACGTATTTTCATGGGAAAGAAAATTATACTTTTGTTTTGTTTTGCTCTTGATAATTCACAACTTGCCGTATTCATATTCGATTTCATATTGTTTTTAACCCACAATGATTGCTTATAACACTTCAAGGGATCGTTTTATTCACCATGAATGTGTCGGTATGCTATATGCCATAAGAAGTTGATACAATCTTCACAGAAATATAAGTATTTCAAAGCAAGTCGCTACATAGTTGTACTAGTATTTGCAATTCATATTTGCCAAGCTTTAACCTGTATAATTATTTTCAAATCACGCATGGAGAGACCTGCCTTGGTATATGTACATAGATTAGAGAAAAATTTCATGTCAATCATTTTTTATTTAGAATGGATGTTCATATAAGGAGCCTGTTCCACACTTTGACCGTGGCCATATGAACTTGAGTTTTGTATTACCTGTTAAAGCTCTAATCTAATCTAATCTAATATAAATATTTTGCTACACTTTTATTTAGGAATCGGTTTAATGTCTAGTGGAGCACAGAAGTGCTTACCATTCACAAGCTTGTACATGATATATGTTGCACCATTTTGATGTAGTGAAAAGAAGTACCGTATTGGTTATTTTTATGATCTCATCTCAAGATTTTTTTCTTAAATGATAGACAGTGTCGATCATTCCACTAGATTAGCAGTTACAAATTAGTGTGTCAACCAGATGGACTAAATCACTGTACCTGTTCAGGTTTTACATGTCCTATACATTAAAGAAAATTGTTTTCATAAAATAAATTATAAGATGAATTATCATTGCCAATAATGCCCAAGTTGTATCTTTGTTAAAAACTGAGCTGAATCTTGTTGGTAGATTACAAGCCTGAGTAGTTGTGTAGGAAGTTGTAACTTGCTCATGCATTGGATTTTGTACTGTACAAGGTATTGTTTCTAATATGTCATCCAGCTATTTTGTAGATGGATGAAGAATGTCGACCGGTTGGCCTTGCGTCCTGTTAGTTCTAGCATAAGATAAAAGGAACTGCTTTACCGTGTTTCACTGATGAAAATGTAGTTCGCACGAGGGGGCTCATTGCTCCCGTACAGTCTGCTATGAAATAAAGTATGTATTTCCTAAAGAAAAAAGAGTGTTCTGACAGTTCATTTGATTGAAATCTAAATAGACTTTAGAGGAAATTAACCCTTCGTACAAATTTGTTTGGAGTAAAGTCATAGGAATGTCACTGAAAGTGTTAAAAATATGAGACAAATTTTTAATTCCACATGTATTTGGAATTACTAATGATTTGAACAAACTCCTTTTGGCAACTTTCTATGAAGAGTTAATTTCCTTTCAACAAAGGCTTATTGTCTAAAAGATGAATCGTGAAATGAGTCATTTTCAGAATAGATTCACTAAATTATTTAGAGAATTAAATTTTTGGGAAGGTATAATTCACGGATGGCCAACCTTTTAAAGCTCGCGGGCCATAGCTAATGATTGGCATAACTTGGCGGGCCGTAGCTAGTCTCCCCTCCCCCACACACACACTCATGCAATACGTGTACACACCTGAAATTCTGCAAAAACAAACAAGGAAACAACAAGATCAGTGAGAAAAACAAATCGGGCTTATATTTAGTGTGATTTCTGTGGCTTGTACTTTTCTACTATGTTGTTAACCTCCATTACATACTCTGGTGAAAATGAGGTAAAGTGGTCCACCTTTCTCTTCTATGAAGAAATACTTTAGAGACCAATCTGATTTAAAGTTTCTGCCTTCATCAGAAACTCTCCTTCTCTTCGCAGGTCTCGAGGTCGTTGCCATGTTGGTTGTTATTTCAATCAAAATCAAGGACACAGCAGAAAGAATATCCTAAATGTATTACTTGTACACTGTACATCTAATTGAACGCGGTGTAGAGGGAAGGGGACTGACTATAAAGTTTACGATTAAGATTCATGAGAAAATTGTACGGCGGGAGAAAAGAGTTGTAAGTTTGAAAACAAGTATGGCATTTCAAACATTATTTCTTGATTCACAACAGTTGTTACCGCGTGCGGAAATTACAAACTGAAATTTACACGTCGAGTGATATTAATGCGGGTATTAATGTCATTAATATAATATAATGAGAGGGAATTCGAGGAGTCAGTGTATCACAACAGTTGTTACTGCGTGCGGAAATTAGAAACTGAAATTTACACGGCGAGTGATATTAATGCGGGTATTAATGTCGTCAGGCGCGGATCCAGGATTTCTTAGGGGAGGGGGCCCAACTTTTTTTTTTTTGCTCCCGAAAATTTGAAAATCGCGCCGGCCGAAAAGTCGCTCAGTGGGGGGGGGGGGGGGGGGGGGGATCTTTTCAATATCATACAATTTGCACCCCCCCCCCCCCCTTGAGCGCCAGGGGGGGGGGGGGCCCAACCCCCAAAAAAGGTAAAAATCACGTGATTTTACATGATTTTTTTCTCAAGGGGGGGGGGGGGGGGCCCGGGCCCCCCGGGCCCCCCCCCCCCTAGATCCGCCACTGAATGTCGTTAATATAATGTAATGAAAGGGAATTTGAGGAGTCAGTGTATCACCAAGTAACGAGTCAATGCGTTGTGAAAGATGAAATCAAATTATGGAAATATTAGAGATAGCTGCGTTTAAATGTTTTACCCTACTTCATCGCTGCTATATGTGGCTGCATTTCATTTATGAAGTATTTTTTCACTGCTCCGCGGGCCGCACCAGAAGAGCTCGCGGGTCGCATGCGGCCCGCGGGCCGCGGGTTGGCCACCCGTGGTATAATTAAAGTTTATTTTCATACAGATATCCCTTGATATGGTTTATATAGAACAGATTGTCAGTGAATGCAATATCCATGAGCAATAACTGGAAGTGCAAAGTCTAAAATTGGGGATTCCCAAAGCAGTTTATCCGATTCCACCGCGGTATGCCATGTTGGTCACAAGATTGCTAATGATGTCCAAAGTTCATTTCCCTGTAATTTTCCATTCTTCGAATGAGGGTTAAATATGTACACTGTGAGTTTGTGGATGCATGTACATGTATTTAAAGCGTCATAGATCATGACCATCGGAACTGACAGGAGTCAAAGCGCGAAGAGCAAGAAGACTTTATATTGTTATAATTTCTTCTCCTGTTAAGATTTTAGAAATGTTACATTCTAAATTTTATAATGCTGATGTAACTGTTTTCAAAAGGCTGCACCCATTTGCTTCAACTTCATAGAGACAGTGCTGTTGTTTCTCTTAAGAAATATATGGGTATGATTCCAAAGAAATGGCATTATCATTGGAGACGGTTCCACTTCTGAAATGTGCGATATGCTTCGATGAACTGGAGGATGGCAGACGTCTAGGTTGTGCTCATTGCTTCTGTCGAACATGTCTAGAAGATTATCAGGAGTCCAACTGCCACGAAGGCCACATTATCTGTCCCCTGTGCCGTCGTGAAACTGAACTGGACGAAGGGCAAGTGAAGGGATTACCAACTGTAGATGGAAGTACATGTAGTTCCAAACCAAACACCTCAATCTTAGATCAGAAAGGGCATCTTTACGACGACGTTGATGACTATGGACTGGAAAAATTGTTTGAATCTGCGCCAGCATGTACTATGTGTCCTGATGTCACAGGAAACGAGGCAGGAGGGTCTGGTGCTCGAGCTGTCTCCTTTTGTAGAGACTGCAAAGAATATATGTGTGATTTGTGTCTGTCGGGTCACAAACGACTGAGTAAAGTATTCTCGGGCCATACACTCGTGTCTGTTCAGGCTGCACTGA